ATGTCCCTGAAGACCATGTCTGCCAATTGAGAAATGTGTGTGGCTGTCTTCCTCCTTTCAGGTGAATTGCAGTGAACTAGATTCAAAGGAAAACAGTCTGTGCCCATGCACTAGGAGTAATCTTTTTTTTTTTTTTTTTTTTTTTTTTTTTTTTTGCAATTGTCATTGTGGTAAAAGGACAGATGTGATTTTGTAGGTTGTTTACTGTTCTTGCAAGACTGGATATTCTTGAATGCTTTGGTTTTCTGTGCTCTAATTTTCTTACTTGCCATAGAAATGAATGATTTTAGCATGTGATGGTTAATTTTGAGAATGTATCATAGGACTGTACTTTCACAGTGCAGCAAACAGCTGGTTGTGCTTCTGAACATCCAGGTTCAGTTCTGAATGTTTAGCCCATTTTTAGCATGAAGACAGAGTTGAGAAATAGTCCACCAGCACACAAATGCAACTGAATCAGAAGTTGAAAATGGGGAGAGGATAAAAATGACACTCAGTAGTGACATCTGAAGAGACCATGAGTTCAGATGTCTCAATATGCCCATGGGGTGATATTACGTCATCAGGGAATGAATTTGCAACATGTGCACTGACATAAGAGTTTGGTATGGCATGAAATTGCTAATGGTGCCCAGCAGTACAAAGTTACATTAAAATAGAGCATGAAGAAAATGCAGATATAATTTCTTTTATTAGCTCATAGGTAGCAATAAATAAACTGGAAGATTTTTTTTTTTTAGCTATTTTGTATGTTTTTTTCAAGGATAAGGGGGAGCAAAAAAGCTTGTTAATCAATTTCAAGTTTTCCCGAGTAACGAGGGTATCATAGTCTTCATCAACCATCCTGCTATCCTGTTATTTTTGTTGGTCTCAAAGTTTCCATAACAGCTTAGTTTGACTTTGTGTGAATTGCCACTTCTACAGAAATACATAAGCTCAGTTAATGTCACATCATGGGGATTAGTTAGTATTGTCTGTACAATTCAAGGAAAACAAAGAAAATGACAGGAATTTGGTGGGAAACAACAGCATCTGACCACCAGTAGGGACCGTAGATAAACCGTGGCACAGACTAATGTGGCACAGTTCCCTTTGTCCATGGGAAGAGGATGTGCTCTGTCCTAGTTCCTTCACCTCACCTTCAAGGTTAAATCTGTACTCAATAGTTACTAACAATTATACATAATTTGTCTGTGACCGGCTGAACATAATCACACATGGAATTAGAGTAGCTGAGGTAGGAAGGTGCCTTTGGACATCATCCAGTCAAACCCTCTGCCCTAAGTAGAGTCAGCTCGAGCAGGTTACCCAGACCTAAGTTCTATTGGTTTTGAACATCTTTAAGGATGGAGACTCCATAACCTCTCTGGGTAACCTATTCCATGGCTTGATGACCCTCACAATAAAAGAAAGAAAGAAATAAACCTTTTCATTGTGTTTAATTGGGATTTCTTGTATTTCAGTTCATGCCCCTTGTCTCTCACCTTTCACTGGGCACTTCTGAGAAGAGTCCGAATCTGACTTCTTCACTCCTCTTATCCCCATCAGGTATTTTTATAAGTTAAGATCCTGCTGAGCTTTTTCTGTTCCAGGCTAAAGAGTCCCAGCTGCCTCAGCCTCTCCACATACATCAGAGGCCCCAATTCCATTATCTTCTCTGTAGTCTTTTTCTGGGCTCACTCCAGTGTGTTCATATTTCTTAGGAAGATCAGAAATGTAGTCAGAACTCTAGATGTAGACTTACCAGTGCAGAGTAGAGAGGAAGGATCACCTCCCTCCATCTGCTGAAAACACTCCTTCTAATGCAGCCCAGAATGATCTTGGTGTTGTCTGCCACAAGGACGCATTGCTGGCTTATATTCAACTTGATATCCTTCTCTGCAGACCTTTATTCCAGCCATTTGGCCCCTCAGTCTGCTCTGGTGCATGAGGTTGTTCCCATTCACATGAAGGACTTGGCTTTTCCCTTGACGAACTTCATGAGGTTCCTGTTGGTCCAGTTCTCCAGCCTGTTCAGGTCCCTCTGAATGACAGCACAGCCATCTAGTGTGTCAGCCACTCCTCCCAGTTGTGTATCATCTGCATAATCCATCCTATCATCCACATTGTTAATGAAGATTTTAAACAGTATCGGCTGCAGAATCAGCCCCTGGGGTACACCTCTAGTGACTGGCCTCCAGATGGACTTTGTGCTGATGATCACAATTCTTTGAGCCTGGCAGTTCAGCCAGTTATTAATTCATCTCACTGCCTGTTTATATAGCCCACATTCCTATAGTTTGTCAAAGAATCATCAATAGCTTATTTTAAGTAAATATTTATGAAAACAACATTTACATGGAAAAATAAGTTCAGAAAGTAGCTTCATGAAAATGTTTTGTTGGAGGAAATGCTCCTGGAATTTACAGATTTACTGATGAAACAGTAACAAAAGAGATTCATAAATGTTGCGGCAGTTCATTTGTTCTTAGCTCAGACTTAGCATTGTCAGCTTTCTCAATTTTATCATATGTCTTATTTTATACATTGTATGGTTGAAAGCTCAAATTTAAAAAGAGATAGAGCATCTCAGTTCTCATTAAGAAGAAGAGAAAGGAACTGGCCTTTGCAGTTACAGCAAAAATACTGCAATGTGTCCTTACTGTACCCTGCAATGAACAGAAACAAAAAGGAGAAAAATGCCTCAGATCAGTGTAGCATTTCTGAAGTACATTGCATCTCAACTACTTTAATGATTTCAGGGAGGCTGGACTTGTATTTTTGGAATGCTTAACAGCAGCAGCGATAAGGTGTTAATGAGATGAATGAAGGTCTGGATGGCCTGAAGTCATGTTCAGATCTAGGCTTTTGTACAGGCTTCCTATGTGCTCTTGAGAAACTGTAGATCAGACCTGTATCAGGATGAGTACATGGCTTGGCAGGCCATCAGACAGCCCAGTAAGGGGAGCTATTTCTGTGTATCAGACAGATTGGTAATTACAGCCCTCCAGCATGTTGTAAATAGAATCCTACACTGATCATTGCCGAAGTCAATATTAGTATCCTTTCACTTCAACTATGTAAAAAACTGCAATGCTGAAATATTGTCTGTGGAATTGAATTAGGTTCAAAGACAGAAAGGCAACTTACGTCCTTTGCAGGAAAATCACCTGGCATTTTCAAGAAAATCCTTTAGATTCAGTGTAAAGTGTTACCTAACTATCTCCCCACCAGAGAGACATCATCCTTTAGGGATGCCCCAGCACTCCTCTAGTGGCCTCTGGGTTACAAGTGATACCTTAAATCTACGCAAAATATCCCAAAGCAGTATATCTGATATTACGAACACAGAAACTAGGGCTAACTCTTAACTTTGGACATGGTACATTTTCCTGCAATTTTGACTGTGTCACAGACTGAGAGAGAATACCTCAAACTACTTGCCTGTACTTCTCCTCCCACACATCATGTCTCTGCCAGCTTCATAGGGTTGAGTGATTTACAGCACTTTATCAGAGGGGAGGCAATGGCCTCTCTTGAGGAACTTACTCAAGACTTGGTCTGTGTTTACAGAAGCTAAGTATTTTTCTTTCTGCCTATGGAATAGGTAGCTCTAGTGATTGCTGTGGGACCAGAATTCTTCCCTTCTCCTCTTTTCTCACCAAAGCCTTTGTTTACACCACAGAGTTGGTCAGCCTTTCCTGGAAAAGTTCCTGTCCAAGATCAAAGAATCTCTTTGGTGTTTGCTTGGCTCATGATCTATGGGATCTGATCCCTTATATTAAATGCACACTCTCTCCCTTCATCCACAAGCTCCAAAGTCTTTCTGCCTCTTTGTTTTTCTCTGGGAAGAAAGGTGGAGTAGTAACTGTTATGCAGGTCTTTCAGGCATTAGCAAACACCAGGAAAAGAACCTGGTGGCTACCTAATGACCTACTGAAGTATGTAAATGTAGGTCTCTCCCTTCCCACCCCACCTAAGAAGACAATACACTAGGTGGGAGGGATAATTAATTTTTCCATCATAAATGGTTAATAGCTATGTATGCCTGGCATTTATTATCTGAATCAGATTGAAACTCTGATTCTTTTAAGATTTCTCATAATTCTAGTGCAGATACAGAAGTGAGAATTCAGGAAGACAATTTTTTAGATCATATTCTAATTTTTTTCATGCTCTGCACACAAGGATTGCATATCAAAATGTTTGCATGCGTTAAGTCCCTACAAATATTTACAAAGTAAAGTAGGTAAAGTTAGGAAAAGCCGGCATTAAGTTTGTTTCTGCTATGTGAGCACATAGGGTCTCCCCAGCTTCCTCAGTTGGTTCCTTTGCTGGTACTTACTTCTGTCGCTGTTTCACCATTTCAGCTGACATTAATTTCTTTGCATCCTGCTAGTGCCAGGCTGGCCTATTCAGTGCTGGTACCCTCAAACATCTCGCTGGATGAGCAATGGTCTGCTCTTGCCATTCAGACAACTCATATCCAGTTCCTCTCAAAGTCTGGGGCTCTGCTCCATCAGTCACACCACTGAGTCTGAGATGGGGTATGCAGGGTGTGGAGATTTTTGCTTTTGAGATCTAGCAAACACTTGAAAGAATTCACATTTTTTCAAAGGTTGACAGTGTGGCCAAATGCAGATAGCTTTCTAGGTGGCAAATTTATTTTCCTGCCAAACTTCCAGAGAGCCAAAACAATGTTGATAAGGGGTAATATAAGATTTCTGGCTATTCATATTATTGTATCCACTGTCTAGAATTGGTTTGTTGTTCTTGTTGTTGTTTGTTTTTTAAATGTGAGACTGTTCATAGTTAGTCAAATATTCTGCTTATTAAAATAATGCGATGAACAACGAATTGTTTTTATCTAGCTGTGTGATTCCTATCTTACTCAATTGGCTTATGTATATTAGGAAGTACTGGACATCTCTTATCCATGTTTGAACTACAGAACATTTCTATGCCTCCATCTCGTGTGTCATGCTTCCGCCTTCAGATATTTTGTGTCTGTGTTTCCACAGTAAGCCAATCTGATTGCTATGTGAGCCTCTGGTTGCCAACCGCTTCAGATGACAAATTCCAAACCAAAACCATCAGGAACTGCAGAAATCCTGTGTGGAATGAAACTTTCTACTTTCGGATACAAAGAAAAGTCAAGGTATCATAAACTCTCTTTGTCTCATCTGCATGTAGTAGCAAGCTGGAGTGAAACATTTTTTGCTTTTGCTGGAATCTACTTCCCTCCTAACAGATACTTATTATTTTTATATCAGTACTGTCAGCCAGACCTCCTTGCAAAAGCTGATGGGACTAATGACAGAGTGACAACACAGAGAAACAATGGCATAAAACCATAACGTAACACTAGAACAGAAAAACACCTCTTTCAGTGAGAGGATGTGAAATAGAGATATTAAAGCCAGGAAGCTAACTGGTAATTACACTACTCCCAAATACCTATGAGCAAAGCTGGCTAAAAGTGGAAGAGCACAGAAAGGTGGTCTTGAAAGGTATTAGTATGAAGTGACGACTACTGCTCCTCCTGTTGATATGGGGCAAAGTAGGGTTTCAGGCTGTTCGTATTACTTCCTAAAAGATTACAGTTTTGGTGAGAGTTACTTCCAAGCAGAAATGATGACCCAAGATAAATCTCATTTCAGCTTAATTGATGAGACTAGAAGCTGCTATTTATAAAGGAGATTGTGGTCTTTATCTTATTATTCCTTGTGACAGTTGGTCATCTTTTCTATTTCCTCACTCTAAAGCAGATGCTGAACCTGGAATAGCTGCAGAATGTCATGCTTCTGGAGGATGTTCTAAGGAATTATAGCTTTTTTTTTTTTTTCCCCAGAATATTCTGGAAATTACTGTTTCTGATGACGACATCATTCATGATGATGACCAAGCAATTATTCTTTTTGATGTAGCTAAAATCTCCCTTGGAAAAACTGTATTTATGGCATTCCCACTAAATCCAGAGGTAAGAACTAAGTCAGAAGTTAACCAGAGGGGAAAAAATGTGACATCTAGACATACTAGAAATGTGCTGTCTTTTCTGTCTCTTAAAACCAGGAACAGATTCCAAGTAGAATAACAAAATTACTTAAAATCTGGGAAATTGTACACTGGCATATATTCTGGCCAAATGCCCCAGAACAGATGCAGTTTTAGGGAAGCTTTGCACTTTGACTAAACTGACAGAAAACAACAGAGTTTATCTAATCATCACAAAGATTATAAAAAGAAAAACAATCCAAAGACAGCAAAACCAGGCCTGTTTCCACAATATTTTTCTAAACACTAACTAAGTCTTAGCATGTCGTGCTCAGTGTGTGGTAGCTGGCAGACAAAGTGTGAAAAATGAAGGTTTAGCAGGGAGACTTGTAAACATCCTTTGTTCTGCTAGTGCAGCTGAGATCTTTTCCTTGGGGAAGAAAAAGCTGCCTCTGTTCTCTAATGCTGACAATAGCAAGCAAGAAACAGAATGTTGTTACTTATTAAAGAATAAAGGAAACTGTGCTTGCAAAACTGAAGGCCACTTTGCAAACCTCTGCACATACTAACTCGTACTAACTGAGACTGTTTCTTTCTTTTTTTTCTTTCATTTTCAGAGGAGGGAGGAGCTAGAAGTTGAGTTTCTGTTGGAAAGCATGTGAGTAGAACCCCATTATTATGGGAGCAGCAGCTCAGAGAGGGGTGCATCAATGTAGATAATGTTGTGTATACCCAGTATCATCTCAAAAGACAGAGCTTTCCTTTTTCCAAACTCATTGTGTGTATCATCAAGATGCTGTAAGAAAGGAAAATGCCATGGTGTAGAGAATGATTTCATGATATTTAATTCTGTAACTTTCTTTTGAAAGTGGTATTTACATAGTTCAAAGTTGGCTTTCAGTCAACTAAGTCTATAGATTTACTGGAGTCTACAGATTCTCTGGGCAGCTTATGAATGAGGATATTATTGCTACCTAATCTGGGACACGTGTTATTAAGGCTGTTACAGGCACTTTCCAAGTGCTTTATTGCAATTGAATAATTTCTTGTAGGTTAGCTATGTGGCCTGTAGAGAAAATGTGAGAGTACTTCTAAAACCATAGAAAGAAGCAAGTAAAAATAAAGTGTTCAAGAGCGAAAAATACATGTATGTCCTGTTTAAAACAATATCCTGATTTACCATTTATAATATACATACTATTTGTTTTTGTTTTCTAGCCGGGATCCTCCTGAAACCATCACCACAAATGGGGCAATAGTGGTAAAAAAAATATTGCTTGTTTTGTTCTCTTGCCATTCCTTACCTTAGCTGACTATGATGGTAGTGCAAGAAACATTGTAAGTTGTCATTCTTCAGTGACACTCCTTCCCTTAGGAGCTTTATTTTCCCTTGGAGGAGTCTTCATATTACTATCATTTCCTCTCTTTTTTTTTTCTGCAACCACAGAAAATTACAGTGTGCTGAGCGTAGCAACATTTTCCCATGTAACAGTGAAGTTAAATCTCTCTTTCACTGTGTCTGGAATAAGCCTCCAGCAGGTTTAGTGCATGCATTCAACAAATGACCCCTCCAACACTTGCCAGCCCTGGTAGTGAGATGGCTGGATGAGTAATCTGTTTCTCTGTCCTGGTCATGTTTGTTGCAGTGTCGTGAACTAGCCTGCTTGGAAGTTGAATTGGAGAGCAGGATAAAAAAGAAGCATTTTGCAGGTAAGCTTGCTAATTCTTTAACTGAATATTAGTGATTTTACCCTCTCTAACAGTGCCTAGTAATTGCATCATCTAAATGCTAAAGCTTTAACTGACCACATCTAAAGCGATCTGCAAAATCTTTGCAGTAGGGAACGCTGCCAGTGCTGCAGCAGATGTAGGTTCATGGTTCTGACTGCACAGGGAGCCTTGTGCCAGACACCAGATGCCTGTACAGAGGGCATCTAGGCCCCAAGCTGAGATCCTGAAAATCTGTTCTGTAGTACTGCTAATCCCTGAAGAAGCTTATTTCCTTGGTCGCGATAGTCCATGACCTTAACTTTCCTCAGAATCTCTGACAGTTCAACTTCTGCACGTGCACAGAAACACCTCATTTTTTGCAGGGGTTAGCCGCTCAGCAGCTGGCTCACGCCTGACCCTGGTCAAGATCCAGAATCTAGAAGTTCCTCTACCCACCTCCCCTGAGGGTCTGGATCTGGTAGGCAATCTCAGAGCATGCATAACACACTCCGACAGGATTAGCTGATCTCTTCAGATAAATAGGGCCATCTACTGCAGAACATGATCTTGTTTTAGGGGACTGAGATCTTTTGTTGCTCCTTACTTGGCCTGGGATGAGGATGGTTTACAGAGGAAGGTACCTCACTATGTTTATTGTGTCAGAATGCAGCTGCAATAGAAGTTCAGCAGTCTAAAACTTGCTGCCATTCACATCACACTCATGTCCAGCTTTTTGTTTGGCCCCTTATAAAGATAAAACCACCTGTAGTGTTTGGGTCTTGGATAGCTTTCAGATGTCAGCTTTCTAAGTATTTAGGAAGAGTAGAAGGGGATTGTTCGAATCTACATTTTCCTTCCTTTTTCCCTTTCTCTCTCTTTTTTTTTTTTTTTTTTTTTTTTTTTTGCAATTAAAGGTAACTTTTGTGTGTGTTTTATCTCATTGTTTTAGAGAATGAGCTAATGTTTACAGTGAGAGGATCGTTTGAAGAAACCCAGAGAGTTTCACTGGGTTGTGGCTCCTGCTCCCCTATGCCAGATCCCACTTTCTTCCACTATGCCAAATACAAGCAGCCCTCACTGGATGTCACACTCACAAAGAAGAGGAGGCTTCCCAGCTGTGTATGTTACCTCTGAATGTGGTAGTCAACACAGACAGTGCTGTAAACTGAACTTTATGTGTATGTAGGCAGCAAGAGAAGAATATTTCTGTCTTAACCAAAAGGACCTTCGTGCTCCTTTTCAGTGTGCTTGTGTGTCATGTGGAGCAAGGAGGAGCAGAAGAAGCATCCCCCTGACTCTCCCTCTGAAGTCTCTCCCCTCCAAGCAGGAAGTAGTCGGTGAGGTATGTCTGCTGGTCCTTGGGGCTCCTTCACAAACTTCCAAAAATTGTTGCTAGTTCCATAGGTAAAGAAACTGAAGACCACCTCTCTGATACAGAATCAGTTGTTTTCTAACCACCCTTGTGTATAGTGTGATGCACAATGAAGTAAATTGTTTGTAGCAAAATGAAATACAAAATCCAGGAGATAAGGAAGAAGAAAAATGCCTGAGCTGCTGTTCACCCTCCTTGTATGGTTCATGTTCTTACCCAGGCTGAGGTCACTGGGTGCCACTGGGACCGGGGTGTGAGGCTTAGCCCCCCAGGAGGCAGACCAAACAGCCTGCTCAGCCACGCTTTGGGGATGCGCAGCCTCTCGGGCTTCTCCTGGTATCTCACATTGTTTTGTGAAACACTGCAGTTTCTAGGCCAGTGTTTAATGGTGGAGCCTTTCAGGGAGGTGTACTGCTGCAGCTCTTCTCTTATTTGTGTAGTTAAGCTTACTGAAGTTCAGAGCTTTGTAGATGTAACGATGACCTAAAATAACTGTGTCTCATTCTGATCAGGGAAATCAGCCTGTTTTAAACAAAATATCAATATTCATTATTTTACCTTTCTCATTTTCAGCACAGAAAATTTGATTTCCACTTTAAGCTGAAAAAATGGTAAGATATCTTATTTGTCTTTATAGATTCGTAGAATCATTTAGGTCAGAAAAGACCTGTGAGATCGTCAAGTCCAATCATCACATAATACTACCAAGTCCACAACTAAGCCGTGTCCCTTTGCATTTGGAAAGTTGTCAGTCAAATTGCAATCCTTTTGTTACTGCCGCCTGTGCCTTGAATGCTGGCTTGTTTTCATTTCAGACTACGTAATGAAACAGACCTAGTACACAATACAGAGATTTTCAGGCCATGTAATTTCATGTAATGGGACTACACAAATGAAGGAAAGGTTTTATCAAGAACACAAATCTTCCATTGATATCTTACTGTAATCCAAGTTATTCACTAAGGCCCACTGTAGGCACTCACTGAAACCTGTAGAAATTATTTCCAAATGCTGATTTGCAAGAAAAGCATCATTTCAAAACTAATAGAAAGAAATCACTTCTGTTCCCCAAGCAGAGACCAGGGAACTAGAAGACCAAAGCCAGAGTACCTGGTTGACCCTAGGATATGACAAAAAATGACACAATAAATGTAACCATGTATATTTTGAGCATCTATTCAAAGAGATAAATGCAAATTAACTCAATCAAATGATTGCTTATTTTTAAACAAAGAAAATGCATTATGTATGTTTAAAGCCTTAGTAAACTTCAGAGGATGAATGTGTTATGTTTTCTAGAAGCTTCTTTTCTCTTGCAAATTCAGGTGCATCTTCTATCATGCTGTTTTCAGTGTATATTCTATGAGACAGACATACTGTTTACAGTTGTCATTTAAAGGTCTCTCCCTTACCCCACCTATGAAAGATTTTCATAGCAGCTTCCAAACTCTTACTGCAGTACTTATAAATACTCATAAGTGACTTTAAACACCCCCACAAAAAATGAACTTGAAAGTCCGTGGCTTCAGTCCTTGCCTCACAGGCATCAGTGGACGTTTGCACAACTTTGAAAATCGTTTGAAAGCCACCTTTAAAATACTGCCCTCTTCAGGCTTTTGGCTTCACGTCTGAAATTGAGCAATTTTATTAGTTGGCAGCTGTATCTAATTTCAGGCATCTTCGGTAAGGAGGGGTGGGGAAGCCTCCTCAATCCAAGGGAAGATTTACTGTCATTCTCTAGGAACGAACTCAAACATTTCATCCTTTCCTATTCTGCATTGTATAGATGTGATGGTGAAGCATATGTAGTTCTGAAGTAGAAACAATTCAATTACTGAATTAGACTATAAGCATTATATGTGGTACCTGATGCTGTGTTCCAGCCAGGAAGACTTAGACATACGCCTGGGCTTTGACCTGTGTTCTCAGGAACAGGATTTCATTTGCAAAAGGAAGAAGGTTGTTGCAGCAGCTCTGAAGGACATTCTTCAGTTGGAGGAGGACTTGCAGGATGATGAGGTAGATGACTTCTCCACAGCTGGGTGTCAAAATGTAACATTTCTGTTCAATTTTCACTGTTTCCAGGAGATCGGGAAGTTTCTTATGCAAGCTATAGCTGGCTTTGTTATTCTAGAGGATAAATGAGTACTCGTTGGCAATATCAATTAAAAAAATAACAAAAACAAAAAAACATGTAGCCTTGTTCCTACAGGATCCATCTTTGTATTGAATAGCAGTCCACAGAATGATGCAAAGGTGGGCTAGGTGCTTTCAGGACTGAAGCCAAACCTTTTAGGATTCACAATCATCTCTGCCAGACCTAACCCATTGATTCAGCAGTTCTCCTCACAATTCAAACTGGGCTTTGTATTGTTATGCATTTTGTGCTGGCATCTGGCATCTAGGTTCCTGTTGTGTGAGCAGAGCATGCTGCTTGTCTAACTTTAACATCTGCTGTAGCTAGAGCATACACTTGATAAATGGGAGTGATAGAAGAGTGCCTAAGGCAGGGAAAAATCAGGCTTCTCTTTCTCTTTTTTAGTGATAGCACCAAGACTGCATTGCAAAGCCTGAACTCGCATGCAGAGATGGCAAGTTTTCCTTGTTTTGCCCCAAACTGAGCTCAGCAATTTTTTTCACAGCTGGACCTTTCACACACAAGACATTGCTTTTAAATGCCAGCACCAAACTGACATTTCCTTCCCCTCAGATGCAGAGGCACACATACTTCCCCGCAGAACCCAGAGTCTCCTGATTTGTGAACTCACTCCAGTGCGTGGTGTCTGTCTTTACTGTTAATTGAGCTAATTCATATTTAAAGGTTAAACTTCCCCTAAGACTACCAGACCTTGGATTTCTGTATCATCACAGGAAAAACAGTATTTACAATTCAATTGTATACCTAGTATTTTGTGTGCATACATGGTAGGAAGGGTGAATATGGCTCCTCTTTCCTGTGCTATTGGTTTTACAACAGAGCACTGAAATTTTGATGTCTGAGGTCATGGATTTCATGTCCTGTTGCACAAGACAATCACGGAGTGGTTTAGGGTGGTGGGGACCTCTGGAGGCCATCTGGTCCAACCCCTCTACTCAAGCAGGGACACCCAGAGCAGATTGCCCAGCAGCACGTGCAGGCATCTTTTGAAGGTCTCCAATGATGGAGACCCCACAATCTCTCTGGGCATCTATGCTCCACCTATGCCCCATTATAAATTCAAGCCTTCCTTGTCCCTGCCGACCAGTGGCATGCAGCATCCTTATTACTTTATCAGTGTTGTAATACTCTCTTTTCTAAGCACTGGCATATATCTCCTTTACCCCACCACCTCATTAAATGCATGTGTTTTGGGATTGAACAGGTACCTTTGGTGGCAATCATGACAACGGGTGGTGGAACAAGAGCTCTGACAGCCATGTACGCTCACCTTCTGAGTGTGCAGGAACTGAATGTCTTGGACTGTGTCTCATACATCACTGGTTTATCTGGCACAACATGGTAAGGCCAACTTTTGCAAAGTTTTCATAGGAGTTTTCTATACATGTTGTCGAGAAGTGATCCAAAGAGTCAGAGTGGTGAGGCATTAGTTGGAGCCTTGTTAAATATCTAGTGGTTTTCTGCAAAATCAGAAGCCGTCATTGTTCATAATATTTTTGGCCAGTATCAAGAAAGGGCTTTCATTTTACTGCTGTGATTTTTTTCCTCATTTCCTTCATTGGGTATTTGCTAGCATCTGGAATTAAAGCAGTCCTGATTAAAGATGTGGATGGTACCACACACACGTGTGCTTTGTGATGTAAATCAAGTCATTTTACAAAACCCTTCACAACTTTCCAAAGCTCAGCTTCAGAATTCACACTTTTCCTTCTGTTTCTTTTTTTTTTTTTTTTTTTTAGGACCATGGCAAACTTGTATGAGGATCCTGACTGGTCCCAAAAGGACCTTAAGGAAACACTCAATGATGTCCGAAGACATGTGCTTAAAAATAAGTTCTTTACTTGTTTTGCCCCGGATCGTCTGAAATACTACTTGAAAGAGTTGTGCCAGCGGAAACAGGAAGGACATCAGATAAGTTTCACAGACCTATGGGGACTCATCATTGAAACCATGTTTCATGAAAAGGTACAAGAGAAGTGCTTTTCTCTTCAGATTTGCATACTTAGAGAATACATCAGTGAGGGCAGACTGTAAATCATGGTGTGTCTGAGGTTGGAATGGACCTCTTGGGGTCATCTGTTCCAACGCCTCTGCTTGAGCAGAGTCAGCTATAGAGCAAATTGCTAAGGACTTTGTCCAGTCAAATTTTGAATGTCTGTGTAGGTGGAGACTCCAAAACACCTTTGGGCAATGCATGCCAGTGTCTGACCACCCTTACAGAAAAGGAGGGGAAAGTTGATTGGTTGGTTGGTTTTCAGGTAAATGCAAAATTATGTGCCTTGACAGCATCATTCTTTGTGTTTGCTGACTGTATTACATAACCTTAATATCACACCTGAAACATATAGGATAACAATAAAGATAAATAATGGAAAATGAACAACTTTAAAGTGAATTCACATGTAAATATTTAAATGAAAATCCTGCTGTCCTTGTTAAAAAGCACTATGTGGTGTGACAAGGCAAAGAAAAATTGCAAATGAAAATTAAAGAAAGTATCTGAGTCATAAGTGGTATTGCTTCACCTTGTAACCATTTCCACCAAGAGGCAAAATACTGTTTTAGTTAGTATTCATGAATATTTCCTTCCTGTTTATAATTCGAAAACTACTCCCACCATATTATGAATAACCCCAACATATCCAAATTTCAACCACACAGCACAGTGGGACAGACCTTGTAGGGCTGTGGGTTCAGCAAGGACAGTTAGTGTCCCTGCAGTGCCACAGCCCTGACTCCTGGATTGGTATCAGCTGAGGGAAGACCGGTGGCCTTGATGGCACAGTCATCCCTCCAAGGGCTGTTCCAGCAAGGGGAGAACACCTGCAGCTCTTGAAAGGGTCCCTTTCAGGAGGAGCTGAGGTCAGCTCCTTCTCAAGCCTTGGCACTGCTCCCAAACCATCCTGCTTTTTCTACCCTCTCTAATCATGTGAAATGTTCCACAACAGAAGCAGTAAGGGTCAAGCCATGCTGAACATTAACTCTGACTGAGCTTTGGCTCTGTCAGAGGTCTGAGGAAAAGAGGGTTTTCTGGGCTGTAAGGACAGAGGTTACTCCTTCTGAATGAAATAGTCCATGCCAAGAATGCTTTTCAAATATTTCTAGATTTTTTTTTCAGGAATAAATAACATGAATAACAATATTTTCTACCTACGGCTGAAATATCATACTTTTTTCAGCATATGAACTTAAAGTATTCATATCACAAGGACTATTTGTGTGCTGCAGTGCTGAGGCAGAGGAGGGTCAGAGATAGGGATCACAGCATCTCTCTGAATTAAACTGGTGGGGAACATCCTAGTCAGAGTCTGGTATGCTCTTCTTTGTCAGAGCCCAGGCTTAGGTGAGGTGGGAGGCTCTTTGTGTCATCTGACTGTCCTCAGCTATTGTCCTTCTTCAAAACAGGAGGACTGCCATAAGCTCACAGATCAGCAGCAGGCACTAAATCAGGGTCAGAATCCCCTGCCCATCTACCTCGCTCTCAATGTGAAGGATAAAATCAGCGACCAGGACTTTAGAGGTAATAATACTCCTGAATTGCATTTAACTTTTAATCTCAGTAGGGTTCCCTTTAGGACTAGGTAAATAAATCGATTCAATGCACAAATCCTCTAAAGGGCCAATCCACCTAAGAGTCGATTTTTAATAGTTAAATTTTTGAAGGCCTTAGTGTATCCATCTGTATACAGGATCAAAACCAGGATGATGGAGATTATTAACATGAAGCTACCTGCTAAGCGTTTCTGTAGAAAGTGTCAGAAATCTAAACTTTGCAGACACGTTTAGATGTAAGGGGACAATTCACTCTTTGTATTCAACACTGTGAAATGAAGAGTGAATAAAATGTCTGTTTCAAAGTGTGGTACTTTGGAAATCAGGATGTCTTAAATTGGCTAGTATCAGGTTTTATTCAACTATTTTGAGCCTATACTGCTGTAATCATTCTGTTGTGTGCTTTTTCATTTCAGAATGGGTAGAATTCACTCCTTATGAGGTAGGGTTCCTGAAATATGGTGCCTTCATTCGTGCAGAAGATTTTGGTAGTGAGTTCTTCATGGGTCATCTGATGAAGAAAATCCCAGAATCCAGAATCTGCTTTTTGGAAGGTGATTTGTCAACCTAGGAAAACATAATGCAATTTATTATAGTCCATCCTGAGCAAATCCCTCTTCTGAAGTGAAGCACTTAGGGTTTTTTTTTATTATTAAGATGTTAGCAGATAGACTGAAAATACTACCAGTCCTGCTCATATATACCAATAACTTGAATTCTTTACATACACTATGCGTTCATATACTGATACAGAAAGATAGTCCCTTTTTATTTGCCCACAAGGATAATGTAACAAGAAAAGTTTGCTGGAGAATGAAGAAGGTAACGAAGGTCATTATGAATGAAAATGCTTTTAGGTCTTTACAGGTTTTCTTTCTGCAAAATATATTCTATACCACAGGGATCTGGAGCAGTGTATTTTCTTTGAATCTTATGGATGCTTGGTATATATCTGTTCATTCTGAAGACTTCTGGCACAAATGGACCCAAGACAAAATTACCAACATAGGTGGGTTACTTTTATACAATAATGTTGTTTCTCTCTCTCTCTCTCTCTCTCTCTCTTTTTTTTTTTTTTTCTCCCCTATGTGCTGATGTTGTCTCCCTGAATTTTTCAAAGCCGTTGTGGAGTTCCCTCTTCTGGGCTTTTTGTAATCCATATGAAAAAACAGGAGGAAATTCATGCTACTGTGCTAATTACCGCACAGTAATTATTTTAGTTGTGTGAGGAAAAGAATCCATGGGATCTGTCACAGGAAAAAAGGGGGAAATGGCCTTCATACAAGCTATTTTCAGAGCACAGGGGTAAAACGGGGGGAAAAATGTCCCTATATAGTAGGAGAGCCTGGAGGCCTCCCCTAGTGATCCACAGGATTACATTTTGTCTCTTTAAACCTGGACTGTGGCATGAAGCTTCACAAAAAGAAAAGAAAGCGCTATTCTTGTCTGTCTGGAGTCTACAAAGCACAAAGACAAACTTAAGTACTATTGTAGGTCATTCGAAATGACTCATAAGGATGAGATCTGCAAAACTTGCCACCAAATTAAGAAAGATCTTCAGGGTAGGATTTCAAGGGGAAATGTATAATAGACATACTCTAGAGGGGAAGAAAAAAAAAAAAAAAGGATGTAAAGGAAGAGGAGTGTAGCAAAAATGGTGATTTATTTTATCTTGCACTTGTAAGGGTTGTTTTCTGATTGTTAAAACAAGGAGCTTTTATTTGCTAGTAAGAGACATTGTGTTTATGCCTTTTTTATTTTTGTGGTGGAGAGATTATCTGTAACATGAAGTAGGAAAGGAAGACAGGGTAAATGCAGGATGCAGTAACAGGTAAAATCAAAGAAAAGCAAAGTAATTTATAGTAGAAGAAATTGATTCATTTACAATACAAACAAGATTTTTACCACTATGGACTGAGAATAAATGATTTTTTTTCAATCTTAGCTGAAAACTGTGAGATTTGTGGAAATCATGGTAATGAAAAGAGCAAGAAGTCAAAGTTTTCCCAAACGTGTGAAAGCAGATTATGATTGCATAGATTGACCTCCACAGTGATAGCACATAAAAGAACTGTTATCCTTTCTTTTGCAGATGATGAAACCCTATTCCCTATAAGACCAAATGAGCTGGAGACTCGAGTGGTTTGTCCCACTGGCAGCTTTTCAGACATCTTCCGAGATGTCGTCATGTTACGTCCAGCAGCTTCAGAAATCCCTAACTTCCTAAAGGGCCTCCAGATGAACAACAACTACCTAGAGAGCCAGTTTTCTACATGGAAAGGTATGGTAACAACATCCTGTTTTTAGGCATATTTTGAACTATCCTTTAAAAATGAAATGATGCTGAAGGGATTATTAAACTGGCTTTTAGTTATGTTCCCATTCTCTGATAATATTTAAAACTGTCACTGAAAAAGGTGAATTTAGTCAGTAGGAGAGGCTTCAAAAATAAGTTCCTAAAAAATTCATGAAGACTAGCAACTGATAGGCCCTGATCCGTCAATCAGCATACATCTGCTGATGTGCCTGCCAGCCAGCCAGCCTACACATTTATGGCATGGTTCTGGTGCCATCATACAATGTCTCTTGCCCAGACAGTACTCAAGGGGTATTTGATGGACCCTTGTTTCACATTATCTTCTTACCTGTAAGCAAGATATAATGTTTATAATAGTATTCTCTGTTGCACTGTTAGTTATCTGTACTGGGTCTCGTACCAGATCTTCTGTGTTCCACAAGGAGCTGTGGCTGCCTACCTTAACATCTTTGTGCCTGTTCTCACAGCATGCCCAGCATCAAACATTTTCAGTATTCAGCCTGTTGAGAGACTGAGATGTTATTTTAATTTTTCCCCTATTAAAGAATTTCTCATCAGTCACACACAAAACTAAGGGATGGAGTTAATTCTGTTCTCCTGACCCTCAAGTTAAACCCTTTTACTTACATGAAAGCAAAAGAAATTGCAAAGTAAATAGTGGAAATAGGACGTCAGATGAGGAATCCAGAAATGACTGTACAGTAGCTATCAGCTATGGGTCGGAAACATACAAAAAGCTAATTCTCCTTTTGGCAATAATTGATTTTCTTCAGCATACACATGCATCTCTTGTATTGAGCTCCTCCCCTCAAAAACTAATCCTTCTTCTCTAGACTGTGAGCTTGACTCTCGGCCCAACCACCTGACAGGAGCAACAGACTACCTCATCTTGATTGATACTGCATTTGCCTTTGCCACCAGTTACCCACCACTTACAAGACCAGAAAGGAAAATGGATGTCATTTTGCATTTCAACTACAGCTCAGGTTCCCAGACAGGGGTGAGCCTTGTATATTCTTCTTTACTGATATCTCTGCTTCATCATTCAGTTCCCAGAATGGCCAATCCTCTACACATAGAAACTCTTTTTTCAGTATCTGTGCAGCATTAATAAGCTAACATTTTGCCAGGGTCACGTGCATTTATTGAGTAGTACTTTATTATCAGTAAGTAGGCATTTAGTAAACTGAATCTGCCCATTTTATAAGTAAATGTATTCTTGTTGATCTGCAGTCAGTTAGATGTAGAATGGATACAGCTAAACACATTTAAATTTTTAGTTATTTCAACTACTGATACACCTAATCTGAAAAGCAGAGAGTGATTCAGACCACCTGCTACTTGGCCTTCCAGAGCTTGGTTTCACATACAATCTACAACACCTAAATTAGGTACATGCCATAATCTACCAGAACTTGGCCCTTACTCCACAAGCAATCCCAGCAAAATTGGGTTTGGACAAATTCAAAGTGTTCCCAGTATGTTCTGATGTGTTTTTTTTTGTTTGTTTGTTTGTTTTGTTTTGTTTTCCTATTATGGCAAACCAGCCTCTGAAAGAAGCCTCTAAGTACTTTGCAAACCAAGGAATTCCTTTCCCTACTGAGGTGCCAGATGATCAGGAAACACCAAATCTGAAGGAATGCTACATCCTTGGTGACAAGGAGAGTCCAGAGACCCCTATTGTGATATTTTTCCCTTTAGTAAATGACACCTTCAGAGAATACAAAGCACCTGGTAAGTTTACAGCAATTCATCATATCATCAGAGGCTGTAGGCTTCTATTTTTTCTTTTTTTACTTTACAATATCTGTTGTTCAGACCATCCTGTAAACACTTGCAGATTCAGACTCCCTTTTCTTAGATTTGAACCATATCAGGGGGATTAAAATACATAAATTTTCCTCAACAGTAGAGCAGCAGCTGGGATCAGCCTTGAGCATAAATGCCCCTCTTCAGGTTTGGGTTTTTTGTGTGTGTGGATTTTTTTGTTTTTTCATGGGTAGGTTCTAGAGATAAACAGTGAAAAGTATATTCTGTTTATCTGCGATGGCACAAATTAGCAGTGTTATTTCCTCTCAAACCTCTCATCCTTTCCTGTTAGAGAACGCTCTTGGGAATCTGAGGATTTCATTGTTTAAAATCATTTCCAGGCTTACTGTTACACAGATAACACAGATAACCTTGAAAACAAAAGTGTGAACTGGTGAAGCGATGAAAATATAGCACTGAGACATGCAGACAGTTTCTGTTTGCTTCAGTGGGTTCTACTTTGAAACTTAAAAGAGTTTAAAGAGCAACATTGCCGGTCACTTCAAAACAGACAAATCCTAAATTCTGGTACCATATGCCAGATCTACATACTACCACTGTTGGTGCCAAAAGTCTCAGTTACTGCTTCTCCAGATGCTAAAATCCCTAATTCATGGTATGAGAACACTTACTTTTTAATCACTTCAAGGCCCCACAGTATACTGAAAACCAAAAGATAGATGGATACCTGAGAGGTTAGTTTCTGCAGTTGCCCTTTGTAGGAAGAATTAGAAAAAGAGAAAATGAGAAAGAACTAAAGCAGGATTATCTCTGTTGAATAACTTCTCTGTAAACTCTGTGAGGGAGTTTACCTCCCCTCTCAGCTCAATAATTAGCAGAACCTAAGGATGTTCCTAACTCTGCTACCTACCTGTATGTCAGATGGTGTGCAGGTGCTATATGGCAACATAAATCATCAGAGAGTCTCAAAAGGGGTTTTAGTAGGTGTGTAGGTGTATGCAAAGACCTGCATGTGATCTGTATACTTATATGCATAAACTTGAAGCAAGCCTGACTGTTTCAGTTGGTGGCTGCAAGCTGAGACTAAATGGAGAGAACAGGTCCTTATCTGGCCATCACACTTCAAGTCTTAGCTGAGCTGAGAAGGGCTTGACATGTCACAGAGTCGCAGAATGTCAGGGATTGGAAGGGACCTTGAAAGATCATAGCAGCTGAGATCAGCTGTTGTTCTGACTTATGGTGACTTATTAAGATGCGAAAAAAATAAGGGAGGAGATGCGCATTTTATATCTTCTGCATCCATAAATTTTTTGAGATTTGTGATCCCCGGATAAGTTGTGGATATTGTTCTCCCAGTACCAACAGCCCACTGCAGAGGTCCCTACAAATACTTGCTCTGTGAGATCTTGCAAATAAAGTTCTGCACTGCATTCTGCATTAGCTTTGGATCTGCTCTCTACTGCTAAGTGAATTAAAATAAGTTAATGGAATTTGTTTTCAAATTTTCATATGTGATGGGTCTAGCATTTGAAGAGATGATGCTTGTGAGACTACTTGCCTAATAATTTTGCTTCGGTCAGTGATGTGTGTGTTGATAATGCTGGGATAATGAAATGGGCATGAAAAGTGTCCCTGCCAAAATTCAGTGATTCGGGGACTACTAGGTTCAGTCTCATTTCTAACCTTACATAAGGCTTGTAGTTTTTTTATAGTAGCAGGTAGCTCAAGGAAATTACGGTAAACATTCATGCCATCTGCTTCTGGGTTATATCCAGATAATGGCTCGGTGAAGTCTCTTGAGTTTAGACAAATAGAATTGGTTTTTAGGTCTGTTTTCTGTATCTTTTACAAATTCTTCCCAGTATGCAACAAGAGTCATTGTAGCAGATTGTGCTGTGTTGAAGATAATCCGTAAGGTCATTGAAAAGGGAGAACTGCCTTTGGAAAGTTTGAACCACAGAATTGCACATATTTACAGCAGTAAGGGAACTAATAAGACGTGGAGACAAAGAAGGAACAGAAAGTTGCTTGGAAAGAAACTCTGCTGCAATGAAGTCCTTGCTGCAGTTACCTGCTTTGGGAGAAGGCGAGGAAAGAGGGAAAGAGTAAATGCAATTTTCTTGCCCCCTTGGCTAGAAATGTAAGGTGCTGCAATGTCTGGGAGGTGGCAGCAAGGGGAGGCTGGGGGTGCATCAGCACTGAGGGTGACCTGGGGACCAGGCTGCTGGCTAACCCCAGGGCTGGAGGATGATACAGGGTGGAATGCAGCCTCCCACCCTGTGCTCAAAAGAGGAGCTACTGTACTTGCTCTCCTTGTCCTAGCAATTCCATGAGTACCCAGAACAACCCCTGCTCCTCTCACCACCACCAGCTTCTCCACACCCTGCTGCTAATCAAATATCCCAACAATAAAATACCTCTGAAGTGATCAATAGTGTGTTCATGCCCAAGAAACACCCTGACCCTAATCGCTTTTTTGCTTGTTAACCAAGTCCCTGTTTGTCATTTAGGGGTGAAACGTAGTCCCTCAGAGATGGCAGAGGGTGATGTTGATGTTGCCAATACCTGTGGTCCATACTACATAAACAATCTGAGTTATTCAGAGGAAGATTTTGACAAGCTGGTGAACCTAAGTTACTACAATGTCCAGAATAATAAAGACTTGATTATTCAGGCCTTGCGTACAGCAGTGGAGAGGAAAAAGCAGCAAAAGAAACAACAACCACTGCAGAAACCACCTGGTGGTGCGGGTATGTGTGTGCCCAAGAGACAGGGATCCCATTATCTAGCCAACAGCACAGCCCTAGGGAATATGAAATAAAATATCTACGAGCCCTGTTAATGAAGAAGAAAAATCATAAGGATCTTGATTAGAAAGAGAAAAGCTAAAGAATGCTAAGAATGCTTTGTTTGTCATCAGAAACGCTAGAGCCTGTCTGCCAGTGAAGGAAATAAACACAGAAAGCAGAGCTTTTCCTTAATAAATTAATGTGCTTCCCGCGTTGACAACTCCAGGACAGTGGCTAGGTGAAGCTGCACCATGCTGTTAATTGCAGAAGTGACCTTTCAGGCCAAGGCTGAAATCTGTGGACAAGAGATTGTGAGGAAGTTGATGCTGGCAGTGTTTGTGTTCTACCTGTGCTATAAAAAGAGAGGATTGTAAGTCCAGAATTGTAACAGAAAACAAAATCCATTGTTTCAAAGTGAAAACCAAGAAGATGGCTATTTGTAAGCTAAGGATTCTTTATGTGAATGTAAATAAATATTAAACTTTATATAATAAAATACTTTTTTTTTTTTTTTTTGGAGTCAGAGTTAACGGAAATAAATGTTTGGTGTTTTTGCAGCAAATATATGTTAGAGCAATTTCTTTTAGGAGTTTCTTCCTGTACCAGAAAGATGACTTGAACAACATGCAAACTTAGCACATAGCTGCTGAAAAAGTACTGAAGAAGAAATAACACTTGCTCCAGACCTAGATGTGAAGTTTCCCAGGATCCTGGGATCATTTGAGTTTAAGGATCATTTAAGGACCATCTCTACAGCAACTGACTAATTTATTTCAATAGACCAGATGTGTTACTGATATACATTGAAGATTTAAAAGTTTAAACTTTTTTGAGACATTACGTTTGAAAAGACATGAGAAACATAGGCACAGCTGATCTAAAATTGTATTCTTAATGTTATCCAAATGTGATTTTTTTTTAACTTGTTGCAGAGTAATCCAGTGGAAGTAAGCAGACTATTAACTTTCAGCTTTCTTTGATGGTTTGGTTGTCCTATTAACATGGCTTCATTCATATGAGCAGTCTGTTTTCCTGAAGCAAATATAGCAGGTCTAATACCTTTTAGATAAGGAGCTGGAACCTCATCTGAACTCTGTAAAGTGCTCATCCACCTGTGGGAAGTGGGAATCAGGCTCTCCTGGAGCACAGAGAAAGACATTATTCTGTGGGAGAGAGTCCAGGAACTTTAATTTATCTGCAAAACAAAATATAAGCCATTTATAAGCCTCTCCATTATATTATGCAGGAATAGATTTGAGAAGAATATGCAGAATGGGAGAAAGAGAGGAAGAGTTCATTTGATTATTGAGCAAAACAGATAGAGTATCTCTGATGGGTGGGTGAGAGGCACGAGATTCTAATTGCCTAAGTTCAGTGTTGCTCTGTTCTCAATGCTGAACACAATTGCAGTGCTGTGCTTTGACAGATGGAATCCCAGGCCTCTGTTTATTCTTTTTCTAATGTAAGTTTAACTGCTATTCAATGTTATTGAATTATTTATTCAATGTTATTGATTGACATGTACCTACCAGCCTGCAGCCCCTTGGTATGTTTCCTATAGGCTTTCCTGATCATCTGTTCTGCTGTCGTTTATTTTAGCAAGAGATCCTGTTGTGGGTTGAAAATGGAAGTCTTAGAAATCCCTCTGCCCTCAAAGTCTTCCCCAGGTGGTGCACAGAAATGTAACCCTTCTGTCTCCCACTTAGGTCAGTGCACAATTACCTCTCAAAGTGTGCTGCAGGAGCCTGCACAGCTCCTGTATGGGCTCTGTGCCAGGGTTTTCCTCCTATGGAAACCAAGGAGTGAAGGTGGCAGTCATGCTGATGCGTGCTGGCTTTCATCGCAATATTGGACTGGACGTAGCCAAAGGGCACAGCCAGACCTGGGAATCTGGAAGCACTCCCAGTTACCCATATACAGTTGGAGCTTTATTGTTTGAAGGGCAAATTCTCTCGCTGACAGCAGGAAGCATCTAGGCAGGAAGTCTGAAGACAAGCAGAGCTAGATGTGTGAGTGCAAACACCTCCTGGCTCTTCCTGCAGCTTTCCAGCTGCCACGAAAGGGTCATAGAGAACAATGGACACTTTGCCCCATTTCAAAAAGTATACAGCGGGACTGAAATAATAATTCATGGCTCTGAGTTCCCTATATTCAACAAGAATATAGAGGAGAATGACAAGGGTAAACAAAGGGGTAATTATCTCTCTTTTAAAACAGGACCGAAGGGGAAAAAGCAAAACTGGTAAGCCACAGACTCTAAGTTAACAATGTAAAGTAGTCCTTCACACACCATGTCAGTATGCTATAGACTGTATATTTTGTCTCTGGATATTGCTGTTGATAAATGTTTATGTGGGTTCAAAAAAAAAAAATTTTTTTTTTTTTAATTGTGCATTCACTAGGCAATCTTTAAGGGCTAAAAAAATACAGGGGCTCTGCATCTGCCTCAGCCCTGCACTGAATCACCAGTTCGCAGAGGCTGGGAGGATAGCCTGAGAAAGTATTGCAACACTCTTGTCCTTTTTCTGTGATGCTCTCCCATCACCAAATGCTGTCTGTTATAAAAGACTAGTGAGTAGGTGGCCTGACCCCAGACCTAGGTTCTCCACAGCTCAAATATTTTTGAAAAAAATAATAAACACTCTGGAGTATTCAGAACTGCTGAAAATGTGGTGCACAAGACTGGTTTAAGAGAAATTACTACACCATGTTAGCAACACACAATATTGCTCCAAGCCACAAACCATTTGAAGAGGGAAATCACCCTCTGTCCAGAAATACTGAGAAAACAGACAAAAAAAAAAAAAAAAAAGCAGTTAATAGAAGCCTGAATGTATCAATGAATTCAATCCTTCATGTGAACGCAAGTGTCCTGGCATCTACCATTTCAGTTCATCTTATGGAAACCAAAAGGTTACTTGTAATGATGTCAGCTGAAAGAGACCTGAGGTAACAGGGGGAAGATGGAAGTGCACTGATAGCAATTACATTTAGCAACCTAGGGGGAAAAGTCATAAAAATGAGAGGAATACAAAACCAAACTAGAAAAAAAGGGTATTTCAAGAAATGAGGAAGCTGGCCAACATACCCTACACAAAGTGGTATAAAATCTTTAGACTCAGCATGGAAATTGCAACAAAGCATTGCAAAACACATGCACAGCCCTAAATAAAATGTGAAGCAAGGAGCCAAGAAAAGGCAGGGTGGCTGAGCTCAGGGCTGAGCAGTATTAAAGCCTAACCTCTCTTCTTTGAGGAACAGTGTGGGGAGGAAGCAGACAGGGAAAGGGCACATCTAAACCTGCTGGTGCATTTACAAAAGAGCAAGAGCACATAGAGAGAAGGTAATATTCATGATGGAAATTAGAAGGAAGGGAGGTAAATAGCTAAAAATGTGACTTAGGAGGCGTCCAGCAAAAACGGGTTGAGATTGTAAGGATATTGCAAAAGATGCAAGGAGGTAAGACTGCGACACAAAAGTTGTATTTCCAACAGTGTGTTTACACGGAGACTCAGCAATTATTTTTTTTTATTTTTATTTTAACTGGGAGACCAAGCTTTTATTTTTTAGGTAGAGAGAGAACATTAATTTTACTAATGTAAAATTGATGAACTAATACAATGAATGTACTAGTGCAAGTCACTAATATAAAAAATGAATTTATGTAAAATGAAAAACTAACAGTGTCTGAGCAAGCATGCTATCACATTCCGTTAAAATCTATTGCAAAATTGATGGAAAAGGTGCTCCACCCTTCAGGCTACGCATATTACCAAGGGTAAAACTAATGGCCAGATACATTACGCACGTCCCCCAGCCAACTGAGCGCTATAGGAGGAATTTCCCCTGCGTTTAAAATAGCTGCCGAGCGCAGTGCTCGCCCCGCAGCCCTCCCGGGGCCGTCAGCACCCAAACTCGCCAAGCATGCGGGCGGCTCCGCCTTGCGCTCCCGGGGACCCAGCTGAACCCTGCGGGGAAGAGGGGCGGCAGGTATAACAAATAAAAAAATAAGAGGCGGCTTTGGGACCAAGCTGTTTCTGAAAAATAATAATAAATAAGTAATAAAAAAATAATAACAAGAACATAAAAGATACCCAGATACCCCCCACTCCAAATAAATAAATGAAAAAATATATATTTTATTATTGGAGGGGAGGGAATAGCAAGCTGGGAGCCCCTTGGTGGACGTCTCTGCTTGCAGGTGGTGTGGGTTGCGGCCACCCCCCCGCGGCACCGGCACCGCCCCGCCGGCGGGGCAGGGCCGTGGACGGGGAGGAGCGGGGCTCGGCACGGCTCAGTACGGCTGGGCTCGGGTCGGTTTGGCTCAGCACGGCACGGAGCTGGCAGCAGCGGGATGTTCAGCTGGCTGGGCAAGCAGGGCGGCGGCCGGGAGCGCGGTGGCGGAGGCGGCGACGTGGTGCAGACGGTGACCGGGGGGCTGCGGGACCTCTACCTCCGCAAGCTGCTGCCGCTGGAGGAGCACTACCGCTTCCATGACTTCCACTCGCCCGCCCTGGAGGAGGCCGATTTCGAGAACAAGCCCATGGTGCTGCTGGTGGGGCAGTACAGCACCGGCAAGACCACCTTCATCCGGTAGGTGGCGGACCCCCGGGGGTGCCCCCCCACACGCACACCCGGCGATGGGTGCTGCTGCACCCCGGGGTGCCTGAGGGGCTGTGCTGAGGATGGGGGCGGCTTCTGGGGCTGAGTCTCAGCTGCTGTATATTGCTCTTACTTCCTGCTTCAGACCCTTCTCTCGATTTCATGTTCTGCCGGGAAAGCGTAACCTCGCTGTCTTACTTCCTGTTAACTTTGTATTATTTTTTTCTTTCTAAATTATTTCAGGGGAAAAGGGGCTACTGTCATCACCGGCCGTGCAACCTTATGTCCGCCCCTTCTTTCCTTAAATAAATTTAATTCTTAGGTTGCATGTGGGAACAGGAGAAACACAACAGCGTTCATGCTGCGTCCTCAGAGATCTCTTTTCCCCTCACACTCCTGTTCAATTGTGTTGAAGAGGAAACATCACTAACTGTAAATTGTACAAATGTTTCATTTCTAGTTCTGAAGGTTCCTGGCAGCCTTGCTATGGCACTTCTCCTTTTCCAGTGCAGAGGATTCCCTTCCTCACACCCCGTCAAGGAGCAGTGTTTCCCTTTACTCACCTTTTCAGGTGTTTGCAGAGCCTGTCACGTTTCGTGCCTGCTTCGCAGCCAGCTGGCCGCAGGCTTGAGGTTCACCTTGCTTCTTTGCTGGTGGTTTCTGACTTCTGCTAACATGCCAGATGGGCTTGCTCAGAGCAGTGTACTAAAAATAGACATAGGGCTGTAATTAAGAGAAACTTGGTTTCGGGATCCCCATTGGTAGCTGAAAGGAAGTATGTGTTTGTGGGGTGGGTGGTTTGAATCTTTTTCATGTTTCTCAACCCGTGCTGACTGATTCATTTTCTTCTTTACTTGTATTCAAATTCTAGCAGCCCTGGTAGGCTGGGTGTATTTCCAGGTAAGTGATCTTACCTGGGTTAGGGACAAAGGAAGGCGAGGGCATGGGTAATGTGGGACAGAGTGGTCCGGAACAGAGATGTCCCAGAACCTGTTCTGCCTGTCAGCTGACTTGCTGTGTCATTTGCAGTTTATAGGAAAATTTTTTCCCCTCTGGTTTGCCTTGGATGAGAAATCACATTCTTGATTTATGGATGTTTGATGTTCTGTCCTTTGCAGCTGCCCATATTTGACTGAACGTAGCTCACTATTGCACTCAGGAGCACTAATAGGCCTTGCACTGCTTCACAAGTACTTCGGTTGCTGTTGCTTTGTGTGTAACTTGTTACCTCTTTAATTGTAAAATACAGAATAATAGGACTGATCAACACTAATGGATGGTCTGCAAGAAGAAAGAAATATCATTCATTACAACTATTTCCCACCTTTTCGGTGTTATTTCCCAGGGAAGTGAGACTTCAGTGGTCTCTGCTGGGAGTAAATATCTGGACGCGTTTTGAACCCTCTGGTGAACATCAACTAAATTTGACTGATATAAACGTTAAAGATATCTTATGCTTTTTATTGAAATATCTGACTGAATGGAGGAAGCAACTTCTATTGTGATGTGCCCTCCTTTTCACCCAGACACCCCAGTTTACATAGATTGCAGTGTGGTATAATCCCTTACTAGGTATTGGAGAATTTGGGAATTCACAGGAATTGACCATTGAGACCCTGTCTGTAATAAAAGAGTTGATATTGCTTCTAAAGAAACACAGTCACCATTAACACCTTCCCCAGGGAAGCCAGATAAACATTCATTACATCAGGGTTTGCTGTAGGTAATAACTGTAGATAATCATTGGCTGCATCAGCATGAGAAAACTCTCCATTCAACATGGACAGCAACTTATGCCAACGGTGTAAAGGTTATGTCACAGTGACTGATATTCAAAATCCAGTTTAGAGAAAAGGGGAAAAAAAAGGCAATGAAATGAGAAGTGAAATTGTGTATGTAAAATAAAGTGAAGACTTATAAAAGAAGAAATACTGTAGTGGCCAGGTCAGCCACAAATTAATTTCCTCCATTGTAGGCTGATTTCCCATGTGTTTTTTTGTTTGTTTTGTTTTGTTTGTTTGTTTTTTAAAAAGCATACTCTCTCAAGATTGTTATAATTCATGGTTTATAACTGATAGGTTTTTCTAGAAGGTAGTTAGACTGTATCTTCTTTTCCTTTTTTTTTTTTTTCTTTCCAGTAGCCTTTTGGCAAGGAAATATTATTTTAAACCTTAATCAAAACTGCTTTTTGTTTCATGCTTCTTCATTTCATAGTCAGGAGGACACACTAAATCTATTTTTGTGTTTACTACCATGTTTATATGTGAACCTACGAATCTGTTTAGCTGATGAGTATTTATTTGAGATTAATTTTTTGAGGCTACCTAGCACGAGATAATTTGATTTAGAAATTACCGTGAGAACTTCACATTTTCATAGCTTTGACACATCCACATCCACCCAGTTCCTTCCACTTAGTCTTCATGGAAAACACTGATCTAGTAATGACTGAATGCCCTGAGGGATTAGGATAGAAAAATAAACACTTCCAGGTTTCTGTCAGCCTTTCTGGTTTTTCACTCGGTACTGTTGTTACTGGTTGCTCCCTGAACAATGCAGTGGAACTGGCCAGTTTTGCTGTCTGAGACGTAGTGCGCTGATGCTGTTTCATTTAAGTATTTAACAATGCCAACAACTCAAATATATTGAGGCCCAAATGGCAATACTTATGATTGTTTTTTTAATAGGGTGGGAGGATGGGTGAGAGCCAAGTGCTTATCTTACATGTAAGCTGCTTGGCATTGTACCTGCGCAGCTTCTGTAATACTCCCAACTTCTCGTGGCTGCTTTAGAGGAAGAAGTGGTAAAAGGAGGGGCAGGAGAAGAGAACTGCAGTGTATCAGAGACAGGATCATCAGTGCACATTTATAATCACCACATTCTTTATTCTACAAGTGTAAGAGACTAAGTGATGAGTTTTTGGCTTGTTTGTTTTTTGTTGGTTTTTTTTATTATTTTAACATATCAAGATGAGGAAAAACAGAAGTGAATTCCTCAGCTCGCTAGATCGTGCTTTTACTTTGTTCAGAGGTATTACTCAGAGGTTAAAACAGTAAACTTCCTTCTATTTAACTCAGCTGGAGCTGAGTTTTGTGAAAGCTCCCTTTTATATCTGTAATATCTAGAGCCTGCTAATGGTGTGCAATCAGTTGTATGGCAAGAATGGGCCACATCATTTTTTTGTCGGCTCTTTCTTAATTTCTTTGGGTCTGTAGAACTTCTTTGTTACTAGCACTGTGTATAACTCTTATTCAAGGTATTTGGAACAGAATTATTGCATTATAGCAAACATCTTCTGTTAGTTTTGTAATGTTTAAAAAAAAAAAAGTGAGGAGGATTTGTGGTAGCATATAGTGTGGAGGTGGACTTAGGAAAGGAGACTTAGCTTGTCTCTCCATACAGAATCACAGAATCACAGAATTTCTAGGTTGGAAGAGACCTCAAGATCATCGAGTCCAACCTCTGACTTAACGCTAACAGTCTCCACTAAACCATATCCCTAAGCTCTACATCTAAACGTCTTTTAAAGACCTCCAGGGATGGTGACTCCACCACTTCCCTGGGCAGCCCATTCCAATGTCTAACAACCCTTTCAGTAAAGAAGTTCTTCCTAATATCCAACCTAAAACTCCCCTGGCGCAACTTAAGCCCATTCCCCCTCGTCCTGTCACCAGGCACGTGGGAGAATTGACCAACCCCCACCTCGCTACAGCCTCCTTTAATGTACCTGTAGAGAGCAATAAGGTCGCCCCTGAGCCTCCTTTTCTCCAGGCTGAATACATCACATTGCATCCTTGCCCAGTGCTGGTTAGTCCACCTAGGCTGTGTTCGTGTGTTAGTATGGCTTAACTGAAGCATGCAGGCTTCAGATGATTATCAGTATCCGCAACTGTGAGTAATCTTTGTGAACCAGTTTCCTGTAGTTGGGCTATAGGACTGGCAAAGGGATGTAGATGACTGTTTGCTAGCAAAGCAGAAAGTTTATAGCCCAGGTAAAAATAAAGGGTGAAGAGCAAGTCCCTTGAGTCAACAGGATGTCTGCTGTTTGATCTAGACTGTCTTCGGGACAAATGCTATTTTTAAGCATTCTTCCTGTGAATCTTTTTGAACTCCCTCTCCGCTGAAAATTCCTGAGAAGGGCATGTGGTCACAGATGCTAAAAATCCAGGTAGTTTCCTGTGCTAATATAACACTACAAAAACATTTGCAGTTTTTCAATTTACAGAAGGCTGGTCTTCCCTTTTATGTGGCTAAGTGAAACCGATATTTTCATAACAAGAGGAAGTGTGATATAGCTTGTACGACCAGCACTCAAGATCTGGGGTATCTTTTTGGCTGTTCTGGTTCTTGACATGTGACTGAGCGTGTGTCTTAATGGAAAATACCTGCCTTACCCCAAGTGCTTGCAGTCTCTGAATAGCTGCAGCAGGCCCAGCACTCTGGCTCTTGGGTGGGACTCAGTATTTGGAAGGAGCTCTTGCCTTCCTGTATTGCTATCTCTGAAAGCCTGGCTTTTAAAGCTGCATCTGTGAAGTTAACTTGGAAGTATCATTGCAAGTCAGTAGCGCTTTATTAAAATTTGTTCTATGTCTATCATTTGAATTTGCAGGTAATATGAATTTGCATTGTTCAAGTTCTGAGCTGAAAATACAATGTTGAGAATCCTTAAGGGTGCTTGATACTTTGAACTCCTTGTAAACTCTACAAGTGTTGCATGTGGCCATGAGATCATTTTTTTTAGTCATATAAAAGGAAACTGCCATTAAAGTTCCATCACCAATGCATGCCAGGTTCATGAGCTTTTCTGATGGGTAGCAGTGATGCTGCGGATACTTTGTAGAATGTATTTTGCAGGAAGAGCAGCCTGGAAGTCCTCTCAAGCCAATGAAAACTTAAGAAACTTAAACAATGGTAGAACAGTTATAGTACTGTTAGATTAAGGTCCAGAACAAACCTATTACTTAAAGGCCAGTGTTAATCTAGACATGCTCAAAACTGTGACTGGTGCTGTCATTGGATGTGGGACCAGCACTGACAATTTACACTTAGTATTTCAAGGTGATAATTTTTAAGATGGTACTGTTGAGAATGAGGACAGTAGTACTCATACATTCACATTAAAACTAAGCAGGATTGTTTGGTCCTGTTTGTGAAAAGTGGAAAATGTGAGAGTGTAGGCCTGGGCTTGGCTGATAGGCTTGTGGCTTCTCTTGCTTCTCATTTGCCATCCAGGAAGGTATACAGGTAGGCTTTAAGTACGTATTCTGTTCCCAGTAAGTTCTAGCATTTAAATATGTGCATCCCTCATCTGAGATCTTGCCAGTCAAGACTTGCTGTATCAGACTTGGCCCAATGGGCATGTGCAGTCTGTGTCTCAGCAGATTGCTCGGGGGGGGGGGTGCATGATGGCTTCTGTTTGTACAACACCTCCTGATTTGGTGCATGTGGGATGTATGTTACCTATAGCTATGGAATTCTGTGGGTCTAACTTGTTTTACCCTGTGTATCAGAAAGTAATTGTTAACTAAAATAAATAAAACTGAATAAAAGCTCCTTTTCCTCAGTCTCAAACAGAAGTAACTGTATTGTCTCCTAACTGTATTATCTCTGCTGTAGAAAGGTGAGTTCAAGGTAGTAAAAAAGAGGATGTTGCAACTGAGTTCATTGAATGGTTGTGTCTGTCAGCAAGCTGATGTTGCTCATGTGCTGTGTTTCAGACCACTCCCTTTCAGTGCTAGCAGCACTTGTGTGGGATTGCAAACATGGACAAAAAACAGCAGTGTCTTGTAGCGTAACCTACAGCACTGTGATCATTGGTAGAAGCATCCATTTGAGTGGCTCAGGTGTTGCAGGTGAGGGAATACTTTGCACCATATTTTTGTAAAGTGACTGACTTGATCCTTGTATCTAGCTGTTGTGAAAAACTGGCATTTCCTCCCCCCCCCTTTTTTTTCCCTAGCTAATAGAAACAGTAATAGAAACAGTGAAATGCAGAGAAAATTTTATGATTCTAGTGTGTGGGTGTCCTTGGGAATTTTCAAGGGCATTGGAGTTATTTACTTTTCTCCTAGCTCTCCATCATACAGTCTCTTACTTTACATATTCTCTGTCTCTAGATACCTGCTTGAACAAGACTTCCCAGGCATGCGGATTGGTCCAGAGCCTACCACAGATTCTTTTATTGCTGTGATGTATGGAGAGTCAGAAGGAAGTGTTCCTGGAAATGCCCTGGTTGTTGATCCTAAGAAGCCATTCCGCAAACTCAGCCGTTTTGGAAATGCTTTCCTGAACAGGTGAGATCTGGTTGGTTGCTGTCTTTTGATTTTAGGTCTGAATTTCTAATTGATACCGCCTTCAAACATCAGTGCTGTTTACTAAGTCTTTTCTGCTGTATTCATATTGAACAGCATGAAATAAGTATTCAAGTAAAAGCAGAAGCAGTGACAGTTCAAGTGAATTAAAAAAAAAAAAAGGCAGTATGAAGTTGCATTAGCGTACAGCTGACTTTTTTTTTTTTAAAGCATTATGCTAGCTGGAACTCAAGATCAGTTTGGGCACAAGTTTCTCTACTCAATAAAACTAATATGGAAGTACTGTTGTTTAAAACCTACCATCCAAAATAAAAAATCTATTTCCTTTGGTGCTGTCCTGTTCCTCTGCACTAGTCCCTTATACACCAGAGGTTTTTGAGTAGCTCTTCAAAATTGTGAATTGCAGAGAGATGTAAAAAGGCCTGAAAGAATGGAGAATATTTGAATATGGCTTTTGAAGGGAAAAAAAATATATTCAAGCTGTTAAGTGCTTCGTTTTGGTCATTTTCAAGCAGTCCAGTAAAAAGTTTGAAAACCAGATGGTTTTCAAGCAGTGCAGTAGACCAGGATGATTGTTTCTGGATACCTGCTGTGTATTTGCAAAAACAGGCAGAGTTGTTAAGGAGCTGTGAACATTGCGGTAAGTAGCTTAACGTGCAGTTGGAAATACTTATTTCCATTTTGAAGTTATTAATAACTTTGGCATTGTGTGAGCAATCATCTTGTTTTCTTCCTGTATTTGATGGTGATTTGAGATGGAGGCCTGCTTTTGCTAGCCAATTAATCTAAATTGGTTCTCTTTTAACAATAAGTTTTCCTGTTTGACTGATAAGCACTGACATACGTGTTAAAAGTTCATCATGTATGGTCTTATCTCTTGCTGTGCGTATCCACAGAAGAAAGTTCATGTTTATAGCTACTTATGGCTGGCTTGGTTACCAGTTTGCTGAGACATAATGTACTGTGGGAAGCTGCAGTCAGGTCCTACTTTAATACTTCTGGGGCCCCCTTCCTGTGAGGTGTATTAGCTAAGTTCGGTCTTCCAGATCACTATTCTTTCTTACCCCACCATTGTATCCTAGGCTATCTATGAAAACAGCTAACATAATTATCCTGTAAATAGTATTTTTCCATAACAAACAAGTACTTACACTGAACATGTAATAATCCTATCTGTTTGTTTTGGATGTAAGAGCTACGTAATGATTTTTTAAATGATTTCTCAATCCTAATGTTTTGTTTTATGAATAAACCTAAGGTAGTACTTTCACGTGGCTATGGACACTTAACAAAGCCAAATGTCCTTTTCATCTAAATGTAACATGAGAGAAGACAGCGTCTGAGGTAATGGAGAAACTGAAATACAAACAAGAACACAGTAGCACAATGAAGACTTGTACTTACTAATTAGCTTCATCAACTTACTGATACTATCTTGCCGCTTTTTCTGTGACCTCTTCTTATTCCCCTCCCTTGTATCTGACTGATTCTGGTAGATGTCTCTGCAAGGCTCCTGACGGTAGAAATTTGTCTTTATTTCTCCTGTGTACTTGTAAGGGTTGAAAGGGAGGGGGACAGGACCTATGTGTGCCTTTGGATGCTGACTAAAGTAAGTGAAAAAAGAACATTGCAGTATACCAGAAGGTTATGGAGAAAATTAGTACCACTGAGGAGAAACACATGGTCCCGCTTTAATCTAATGGGTGTCTGAACGGATGCAAAAAGGAGAAGTTCTTGGTTGGATAAACTCTAGATTTTCCAAAGGTAATCTTAAGGAAAAAACAAACAAACAAAAAATCAACAGGTGATTGGTGATTGCAAAGTTGTTGATTTTACTTTTGCAAAAAATGTAACTTTAATCTTTCCAAGGATAGCCTAATATTGCTGGTTTTCTTTAATAATAGTCTTATAATAACATGAAAAGCATGAAAGCATCAATGTGCTGCAAGAAGTTAGTCAACTCACTCAGCTAAACTATTTTTGTAAAACTTTTTTTATTGGGAAAAATATATGTTGTTTAAGTAGTTTTGCTTTTTATGATGAGTTTTGCTTTTTATGATGTAGCACTTGAAATCACACCTTATGCAGCTTATGTAAGAAATGATATTTCAGAGCCAAATCTCAGTGTCAAAACCAGATATTCAAATACAAGTAACATTACTGTTTTAAGTTGTCAGAAATACTAGTTTGACCTAAGATTATTGACCCACCTGTTGTCTTCAGATAATGGATATATTCAAAAAGCTACAGACAGTTAATTGTGGTTTGAGTTTATCCTTTTATTTCATCTCTCTTTCTTATGTATTTTCTTCCTTTTCCACTAATGACTTCTGTCAAGTCTGCTGTGTGTTTCCATCTCTGAGGCCTGTTAGCTCCCTGTTTTTTTGCATGGCCTTTTCCAGCTGTCTGCATTTGGGCGATGCCTGCATCAAAATACTACAGCATTGTTCAGCTGAAATAATGGTGCTCCTCTTCCTGTAAGATAGCTTCAGACACATCTCAGTGATACTAAACTGGGCTTTCTTTGAGATAGTGGTAAGAGAAAAAAAACAGAGATGAAAACTCAGTCATCAGAATCTTGCAAATTTGTGAAAGCTACTTCATGTTGTTCATGTTAGTGATATATGCTTTTGTAATGATTGTTGTTGTCAAATGTATTTTCTTTGTCACTTTTGTGCATCCACTGTGCTTCCACAAAATGTTTGGTTTAACACAATGTGTCCTTTAGGCAAATTTTAGGCAAATTTTAAAAATCACTACTTTATTCAGTAGTACCTCACTGTTACATTTTTAACTAAATTTCTGGGGATGATAGCTTTTTCTGTTGGCCACTGGTGTTTTGCAAGCTTTGCAGATGCTAGGTTGCACAGTGTTCTTGTCAGTATGGTCTTCAATCACTACCTGGTAAGAAGATTAAACTCTTATGCAAATCTTTTAAAGGCAGTTTGTAATGAAGGGCAGTAGAGTTTTTTTTCAATCACGAATTATCCCAGAAGCATCAGAGTTTGGACTGCAGGTTTGGCTAGCCAGTAACTAGAAGTTAAGCTTTTTTTTTTTTTTTTCTTTTTAGAATGGTGCATATGTGGCCCATTTTGTCAGCTCTTGCAACATTTGGAATTTTATCATCGCTTAGATAATACAGTTCATATGGTTCTGAGTTTTGCATGGCTTTCTACTGTTTTCCTTTTGTTTTGATGTGTGTTACTTAAAAAGCCCTCCAGTTTTCTTTTTTGGCCTCCATACATGTTTAAAAACAAAATGGCATTCATTAAGGACTTCAAAAACTTTTTTCCTTTTTTTTTTAATTTCACTTCAGTCTTTCTAAAAGCTAATACATAAAGAGGGCAAGGGACAATATACATGTGAGCTAGAGCTCATGCTAATGTTTTGGTTTTTGTTTTTTTTTCCCCTCCTTGCCTGCAGATTCCTGTGTTCTCAATTGCCTAACCAGGTGCTGAAGAGTATCAGCATTATTGACAGCCCAGGCATACTCTCTGGAGAGAAGCAGCGCATCAGCAGAGGTGAGTTGCAGGAGCTGAAAATAACTGAGCACACTGACTATCAAAAATGGTCTTAAATCTCCTCCTTCTGCTTCTCTGGTTTGGATTCCAGCTCCCTTTCTCCTCCACCAAAAAAAAAAGTCTTTCTCCTTCTCCACTTGAAGGGAAAGTAATGCTTGGCAGCATTCAAGTACCTGCTGTCCCTTCTTTAACAGTACGGAAGTGAACACGAAATATGCAGAAAACTGAGGCATCGTGTTAATCAGACAGTGAAAAAGCGAGCACTTGTGTGACAAAATTCAGTGCTGACAGGGATTGTCAAGGAAGTTCTAACCTTGCTGTGTGGGACACGGTTGTGTTTCACTCTGGGGTTAGGTTTCACTGGTAGTTGTGTGTTGCTTAAAAGACTGTGGATCTTCACTGCCATCTAGAATTGCTCTTGTGACTTAACAGAATATACCGCTGTCATTTCTTTATTGTTCTGAAACTCTATTTCTTGATGGTATTTGCTTTATCAAGTCTTTTTATGGCCTAATTGACCTGCCCTTACATACAGTAGACTTTCACCTAGACAGTGCTGAGTCATAACCTTAAGCTTTCCTTATCTGTTAACAAGGTTTTAACTTGACTAGTTTGCGTTTCACCAAAGTGTTTTTCAATGTGTTAGGGATTTTTCTTGAATACATATCTTGGTATAGTTCTGATATCAAAAATGTGATTCTGCTGTATGATGTTGAGCTTTAACCAGTATGGCTGTACCAATATGGCACAACCACAAGGCTTTAGGAGACCAGCTTGCAGTGCTCTGTTCTCAGTACCCCAAGTTTGCAGGGCAATTGCTGCTGAGGTTTAAGGTTTCATATAGATAGATGCCAGTGTTCCTGGTGCACCTGCAAGTTGCTGTATAGAGCTATTGCACGCACTTATTGTACACTGTTATGATTAGGCAATACTGTGCTCACTCATGTTTGAAATATTTCATAGGTACGTTTCCTGTATATGAATTCCAGATTTCTTATGCAGTTCGAAAACAGGTGTTTTTGTAGAGAGCAAACTTGATGTATCCTGTGATGCTGCACTGCAGGGCCTGTCTGAATGGCTTTTGGAAGGACTTCAACATACGCTACAAGCCTAATTTAGTATGTTTTGAAGTTTGAGTTGTTCAGAGGCCCTGTTTAAATCACTGTGTACAAACGTAAGCAGGATTCTACAGGATGTTTTCTGTTTTACTTAAATGTTTCTCCACTAGAGAAAGTTTTGTTCCGAACTGTAACAAGGTGACAGCTTGTAGGCTTCACTGTTGGAGCTGTCGTTTCCTTTCACTGGAGGTGATTAGATGTAAACATGGGGAGTCTTTACTTGCCAGGAAAGGTCTAAAAACACTGGGTGATTCTTTAGCAGAATTTCTTTTCTGACAGCTTAAGATTTTTGTATTTCAAAATTTTACATTTTTTTTGTTTAAATTTTCAGTATATTTCTGTTTCATTTTAGACTTGAGTTTTTCTTATGAAACTTAATGCTGTTTTCTAAGGGGTATATGTAAGGTGAGATTTTTTCATAATGCAGTAATGGAATGTGACATGAAATAACACCCAATAAATATTATTACTTGCTTTCTATTCTGCATATTGCTGGTGTCTATTCTTATCTGAGTCTTTCAGTTACATTTCTAGAGAATTAATGGAAGTTTACAGGACCTCAGCTTTCACCCCTTTCACCTAGTAAAAGACTGGAAGAAAGTAAAGGCACTGCAGAAATGCAGAGCTTCCCGGGTGTTCTATTTAGAGCTCTGTAAAGCTGGCAAGGTGTCCGTAGATGAAGGAGCTGATCGTTTTCTAAAGGAGCAAAAATGTACACTTAGGACAATATTCAAAGCTGTCTTTCTTCTGACACACCTTTCCTGCTCCTGTTGTCAGTGGGAGAATGTGCCAGAGGCTTCCTGCCCATCAGCTCACTGCCTGCGTAAGTGGCTCGACGGGAATGTGCAAATGCGTGCTGGCATTGTCCCCTCAGACAATAGCTGTCCCTGTGCTGCTGCTGCCCTGTGAGTGCACCAGAAGGTTCAGCAGCATCACTGGTGACATTCACAAAGCAGATTGCAGACATAAACGTGTGTGTGGTCTGCAAGGTTTGGAAAGAATGATGAGTGTGAGGAGAGGAGGAAGGTGAAGCAATAGCTAGCAGGGTATGGGGAGGAACTGATTTGAGAAAGGGAGGAGAATTTGATTCATGACTGTTGGAATGACTGTAGGATTAAAGAAATTATTCAGAAAATGTGGTGACCTTTCTTCTTGCAGTGTTCAAGGACCACGCCTTGATAATTTTACTGCAAATGTCAATATAAATGCTTGGTGACAGGAAAGGAAATGTACATTCCTCTTTCCCCTGGGAAGCTAACTGCTACTGAACCCAAAGGCAAGGGTTTAAGGAAGCATGGGGAAAAGATCAGAAAAAAATGCAGAACGTTGCTCACCTTGCATTTTTTTAGAACCAGAATTATTAAGCACTGTTAATTTTCTCAGTTTAGTCAGGCTTGTGAAAATGTTGTTGGGAATTATCAAAGGTGACGTACATAGTTATAGTATTGTGTCAGGCTTTTCTTTCCAGTGAGGCACTGTCTGTTCTCTTTAGGACTATGCTGCCAAAAAGAGTGCAGTAAAAGTGTCATATGAGAGTGCTGGATTGAGACAGGTTTTCATTGACATAACTGGAACCTTAACCCAGGATTGGAGCGTTTAAAAAGAATATTTAAAAAATGCTTCTTTGTGTAGGACCAAGCTGCATTTGAAAGAGTGGGGCAGTTTAGATGCTTGCCTGTTGCACAACAAGAAAAGAACAGCAGACTTTTTTTGGGGGAATAGCTGTTCTCTTGTCCAGGTCCCAAATGTGTGTGTTCGTAGCCTTGTTTGTATAGTTGTTTTTATGGTAGTTGTACTGCACCAGTGCGTGGGATCACTCCACACTCCGTCCACCCCTGCTTCATGAACTAATTGAGTAATTGTTCTCTGGACTTGGCAGCTCCTTGTTGCAGCACTCATCCAAGAGGTAGCTCACTGCTGCAGTAACACCAGCCCCAGGGGTGGAAGAAGTGGACAGTCTGCCTGTCCCTCTTTGCAGAGGATGGGTGGAACCCATCAAGTCTCCCTGATTATTTTCTGAATTGCAGATCTGGGAGATGGTATTAGGGCAAGTTGGAAATCATTTACCTTAGGCCCCAAAGGGAAAGTCTATCATTTGTCTAAATCTTTATTATTGACTGACACAGAAAATAGACCCGTGCTTGTAAAGATGATTGCATAGTTTTATCTTTGAGTAGAGCTGGTGGCTGTCATGTGCTGGACTGGTACTTTGCCCTGGGCCAGTAACACATGAGAGTTCATAATCATTGTTCTCATCAGTGGTTGTAGAGCTGGTAACCTTGCACAGTCTCTCATCAGCTTTTTCATATCGTTGTTTTCTTTTGCTCTCGTCTGGCTCCCTGTTGAGCCCTTTACTGATGCCCAACCTTTGTGCCTGTGCTGGAGGCAATTGCTGCCTCCTTCCTTGCAGCTCAGGATGAGCTCACAGAGTTCTTCAGTGCTGCTGGTGGATTGCTGCTCTTCGTCTTTTAGCTGAGTATGAGGGTGACTTGTGACTTTCTAATATGTATTTGTAAATAGGCTTCATAACTCCTGAGACAGATAGTAGCTGACAGTAGCTGTGGAGACAAACCCTTGAAGAAATAGCAACAGTAGGGCAGCAAAAGGCTGAGAAGCATCAACACCGATTTATTTTTTTTGGTCATGTTTTCCATACTCATCTGTGTTGAACTAGTACTGCTCAATTTTGAAAATCCAGCTCCATGCATGTGCATTGTAACCCAGTGCTCTTCTATGCTTCCATTAAAGAGCATTGCTTTGACTGATGGAATAGATGCTGTGTTGCACTCTCTGGAACAGGACAGAAAAATCATGAAGTCAACCATGTGGAAACCCTTGGCTGAAATATTGAAGTGTATATTGCTGCCCTGTAGTTCAGATACACTCAATACTCTAACTGCTGAATCTATGAAAATGGATTCACTTGTAATTGCAAGTTTTTATTAAAATTAATAGATTATCAGATCTTAGTTATTAAATTGTCTTTTTCTTACAAATTTTAAGCAAGCAGGTTTTTCTTCCCAAACCAAATGCTTCATTAATTTTTATTTCATTCATATTAAAGGAAATGTGTTTGTTTACATATTCTTACTGAATATGCAAATTGTTTGTAGTTCAAAATCCATCAAATGCATGGTGGGAATTTATATATATATATATATATATAAAATATTATATATTTGTTTATTTAGCCAGCCTTTTAAGTCCACTTTGTACCATTAGTGGGAAACTTACTTAAATTTAACTAGTTTCATTTTACAATTTTACATATTTAATTTCAAGCAGATTTCCTTCTATATGTATGAAGTCCAGAACAGGTTGTTGCATAGTTCAGATATGTGCAGTGATGCTACTGTGTTGTACAGAGAAGTAGCATAAGACTTTTTTCTCTCTTTCTTTACTGCTAAATTCTTACAGAGATAAATTATAGTGATTCATAGTGATTTTAATAAAATTATGTTAAGTGAGAAGAGCTCTCTTCCAGCTGTGTTTTGTGCAGCTCTCCTCCTTGCCCCCTACTTTTCATCTCTTGGTCATCTCTTCTAGACCTGGTCGCAGAAAAGAATGTAGAAAATCTGGATAGGACAGGGGTTTTGCACTTCTTACAAAACATTTGTTTTAATGGGAAAGGTGGTGGTTTTGTTGTTGGTAGTGGTGGTGGTGTTTAGCCAGTTAATGAGTCTGACCTGCATCCTTTTGAGTCCTAATAATACCTTATTACCATTGCCTTCACCTTTCTGTTTGATGTGACTGTGCTGGATTTTAGTGGCAGTTGGTGGGAAGACAGGTAACTGGGGACATTTTCGTACTGTTAACTAGAAATTCCAGATTTCATTTCATATGCTAATTGTCATTTATAAACAAAATATTTAAGGCTGATTTTTTTCCTATGTTGATAAGCACGTAGAAGTATGCTTCATGAGAAATCTGGAATTCCCCATTTTCCCTATTTTTCTCCTTGTTTTCTAATAGAGCCTCACTAGGGCCAACAGAAAAAGCTGATTTGCTTTTGGGTTAAAGACCAACAACTTGAAGGTATAGTGAATAATGACTTGACTGAGCCAGCATTGTTTTAAGCAAAGCTAAGCAACTTCACAATGTCCCCTTATCCTTTTATTGAAACAGCGTAAAAGATGCTGGGCAGAATGAGGAGTGGGGAAGAGGAGTTTTGCTTGTGTCTGGACAAGAAACATGGAGTATGCAGCTAATTGACTCATGTATGAGTAGTTTAAGTGGTTTTGTTTGCTCGGGGAGTGCAGGTCTAAAGGCTTGTATTACATGGTTCAGAATTGACCAACAATGCCCTGGAGAGTTCACTGGTGATAACTGAGCTTTCTTTGTTGTCAGTGCTTAAATATGGAGACAGAAGTGTAGTTTCTATTTGGGCTACTTTACAATAGTCCTTGCATTTTGACTGCTGCCTCTTTTAGTTTGTGTCTCTTTCTGAGAGGAAAAATAGGGCCAGAATATCATCTCCCAGTCAGACCTTGCTATTCTTTACTCAAACAAGTTGAGTCATGTGCATGCCAAGCCGAATGCCACATTATTTGTGGTGACTTTGCAGATTAAATGTGTCACTTCTGAATAAGAATTTCCTGAATACTGTTTGCTGTGTGAAGTAGGTTACCTTTTGCATTTAGAAAAGCATTCAGACAGGTGCTACAAAAAGACTTTTCCTCAGAACATCAAAAAGTCTCTTTCAGATGATCAGAAAGGTCTTGTGTTCTCTAATCTGTCACATCCTCAAAGCCATCAGCAACACGGACTCATTACTGGTAAATTGCATTCCCAAGTTTGCTGTGGCAGAAATAACAGCAAGTGTTGCAATGCAAAGAGATAAGAGTTTGGAAATGGTTTTATAATCCAAAAAATTTTGGTTGCTGATTTAGACTGGGGTGCTGCATTTGCAGCCTGTTATTACAGGCACACAGAGCTACCAAAGTGGCCAGTGTTAACAGTGAGAAGAGAGATTCTGGTAAGAGCCCCACAAAGCTTCTTAGCTTGCTCTCCATGCTGAAGTCAGAACCCTCGGAAGAGGCAAACATGGGTGTGAGATGATATTTCGCAGCAACATGAAAGATAACAATGTAGATAATGGGTGGCAAGGTTCAGGAAAATCAAGGTCAGTAATCAAAATAAAAGGTGGTAATAATGAGACTTGTTTAAGGGCATGTAGGATACAGTTGTATTGACCTGTCCACAGATACTCTTCTCCAGGTGGTCTGTCTCCCCTTCTCCCCTCGGCAGATGCTATGATCCCCTTGTTCTGCACCCCCATCCCTACCTTCTGAGACTCACTGCTCCCAACAGGAGAACAGTAATAGTGTGTTCTTTCCTCAGGCTATGACTTCTGCCAAGTCCTCCAGTGGTTTGCAGAGAGGGTCGACCGCATCATCCTCCTCTTTGATGCCCATAAGCTGGATATATCTGATGAGTTTTCAGAGGCTATAAAGTCATTCCGGGGCCAGGATGACAAGATTCGAGTGGTGCTTAATAAGGCTGACCAGGTGGACACACAGCAGCTGATGAGGGTCTACGGTGCACTCATGTGGTCCTTGGGAAAGGTGATCAACACTCCAGAGGTGCTGAGGGTCTACATTGGCTCCTTCTGGTCCCATCCTCTCCGAAACACAGAGAATCGAAGACTCTTTGAGGCAGAGGCCCAGGATCTTTTCCAGGACATCCAGAGTCTCCCGCAGAAGGCCGCAGTGCGGAAGCTCAACGATCTCATTAAGAGGGCGAGACTCGCAAAGGTAAGAAAAGATGCCAAGTTAATCAAATGAGTGATCTCTTCTGTCTTTTTCAGTGTGTCCTTTCTCACCTTTCCCAATCTTTCCACTCATAAAATGTGTGGTTTTCAGTAAATGGATTGTATTGTCAGATTTATATGGAAGAGGTCGTAAAAGAAAATGGGAGGAAATAAAGACTTGTATTGGGATGCCTCCCTTACTTAGAGAAAGGCATCAGATCTTCTCAGGCCATTAGAACTATTGTTTGCTGAGAGGGGAGGTGTACAATTTTTTACGCTGCACAGTAAGATTAACTTAATGCTGCTTTTTGAAGATAAACCTTTTTTTTTTTTTTTTTGTCACGTTCCTGGTGTTATGGTATTAAAAACTGCTATTAACTCAATCTGTTTTGTGTACATTTGTCAGCTTTTTATTTTCCTTCATTACAATTATTTTGGAAATGGAAAGGTATCCGATCGTTTTTAGGTGTTTTTATGTAACATAAAATAAAAACAGATAAAGGTGAATACAAAATACAGTACTCAAGGGGCTTGCTTATCAGTCAGCTCTGGAAGGGGAATAAACTGTTTATCTGCAGAACAGCAGCAATGTAATTCTTACAGTGTCATACTTCTGTCTTCTGCAGTGAACTTTAAGTTCTGAGTCAAAATTACAGCATTGTGTAGTATTTTCGTCCAATGTCTATACCTCTCTGCTCTGAATCCCTTCTAAAACATATGCAGCAACCCAAAACAAAAGCAAACTGTTAACTTGCCGTCAAATTTGGGTATTTTTGTTGTTGCGTGTTTGTGTTTGTGTTTTTTTTTTTTTTAGTACTGTGAGTCACTATCCCATTCTGATGAGAATTATTCTTATCTTTAAGAAACATATGTGCTCATTTGCAGGCCTTACACATGTGAAACTGTCAGTGTTTGTGAACTATAAACGTACTTTTCTGGTTTTGCTAGAAGAATTATTTTAAACATAAGACTATAAAATCACTTAAGATTATTTATAAACTCTATTAGAAATATCCCCGTTTCATAATTTCTGTCATTCTGGAGGACGTTCACATCTATCAGAAAATTTCATGGATTTATGCAGAAACTATGCTTCTTTATGCTGTCTGTTTTTATGTGCTCTGTAGAAATTTGAGTATATCTGTAATTAAAATGCATGCATCCTCTTTAGATAGGAGGAAGTGGTGTTGAATGTGGATGGTCCATTTTTGCTTAGCTACTGTTCTGTTAAGTCAAGTGTGAAAGTTTGGATCTTAAGACATTCAAAGAAATATTGTTTACACCATTTCTAGTGAATAGTGAATGTATCTTCTTTTTTTTTTTTTTTTTTTTTTTAACCCAGTAAGCTTCTAAATGAGTAAGTAAAGGAATGTGACCATACTTTCCTTGCATAGGTTATGTGTAAGGTTTTTCCAGAACAAAATAAGGCATGTTCTGTGGTGTTTTGGTGGTAGTTAATTATTGTACACATCACCATATCTGCATAATCATGTTTTTCTACTGCTTCTCTTTTGTGGTAATCTCTTCACCCATTGCTCAAAATTTCACCTTTTTTATATTCTATGGTACGATAATGATAGACATTCTTAATTTTATATTTTTCATGTGAAAACTGTGTCTGGGAAACAGCTGCATCTTTTTGTTTGTTTTTTAAATAAAGAAAGGTTTGAGTTCTTTAAAAGACTCATCCTGTTACAGAGGTCATTTGACTTCGGTGGTCCTTCCTGGGTCAGAGCTGAAGAAGGCATGTTAATTACTTCAAGTTGTAATGGATATATGTGCATTGCTTCTAAAAGAAGCCTGACCTAGCGCTTCCCTCCCTTGTGCAGCATAAGTATCTGTGCCTACACAATGAATGGAATAAATTAATTCACCCCAGTGAGAGCAAATGCAGCCCACAGTTTCTGTCCTGGACCAGCTCACTTGCTGTGTGGCCACACAGATCCCTTTTGTTGGTGAAAGGCAGTGGGAGGGTGGCAAGGGAAGAGATGAATGGTTTGAGGGTAAGGGTGGAAGGAGAGTACATGGGCAGGGTGGATACTTTGATGGCAGTGTTGGTTTATCTTGATCACAGCAAATGAAAATATCAAAGAGGACTGCAAGTATTGATGTGTTTTAGGGCTTGTCATCCTAAATGAATGCCTTCCCTAATACTCTGGAATGGCTCTGCTTTTCTCCCAAGGCTTTGCAGAGCAGCCAAGGCATTGCTGTTACTATAGCATACTAACTGCTGTATCATCCTTTTGTGGCTACATAAATATCGACTATTTGCTCACTTCTCTAGGAGTAAAAAGGTAGGAATGCCTTGTCACTTCAGTTAGATAGCCCTGCCACTTAACATGCTGGGATTACTCAAGCCATTATCCCATTGTTTCCCTCAATAACTGGCAAGACAAGTAGAGTCGAAACTCTCCACCACTGAGACAGAGAGACTAGTACAGCTGATTTTTTCTGCGTGATCCAGATATGTAAGTGAAAGGACAGCATTTTAGGACCTTGCTTTTGCTCTCACTGTTAGTACCAATACAGTAGTGTACAATGCTCCTTCTTAAACTGTGCTTTTTTTCTTCCCAAGTGCATTTTTTTTTTTAATGCAGTTGCTTTCTCTCAGCTTCTCAAAGGATTACTGAAAGCAGCAAAAGTTGGTTGACACCTCTTTCTGTTAATATGAGGTTCCACAAACAATTGTTGGTAATATGTTGTCCTTCAAATGACTTACTTTTTGAGATGAGTTTATCCATTCTGCTTCTTTTTATGACGTGGGTGAAGAACACTAATGTTGTTAAGCTTATATGAGCAGTAGTATTGATTTAAGCTTTGCTTCTTCTTAGGTACATGCTTATATCATCAGCTACCTGAAAAAAGAAATGCCCTCTGTTTTTGGAAAAGAGAACAAGAAGAAGGAACTGATCAGCAGGTTACCTGAGATCTATGGCCAGCTGCAAAGAGAATATCATATCTCAGCAGGGGACTTCCCTGAAGTCAAAAAAATGCAGGTAAAACAATAGATTACAGTTCCACTGAAATAATACTAATTTTCTGACATGATTGACAAATTAGAAAAGACAGAACAGAGAGACTCAGCATTCTAGTTTGGAGTCTTTGGACAAATGGCAAAAGAGCAGAAGTGACAGCCACTGGTGTTAGCATGACTTGGAAGCAGTGAAGATGGTTGGTAATTTCCTTAACGTGTGTGTCCATCCCCAGAAGACTGCAGAAATTGCCATAAGGAATCCGACCTTCTGTTCTTTTACTCAATATTTGATTCCTATTAGCAGATAGTACTAAATGTTTTAGAAGATGGTGCAAATAAAATGTTAGAGGGCTCGTATGGGCTAAGCTGTTTCTTGATCTGCGTCCTAAATGTGGGTATTTATATCACTTCTGTAATTCTGTCAGATATTTGGGTAGGTGAAGATGCCCATAGTCACACATCAGTCATATTTACCCTTCTCTTTTCTTGTTCTTAGTGATGCTGTTTGCCATTGAGTAACAAAGGCAATAGATTAACTGAAAAGTCCAGCTTTAAGTTCTCGCTTCTGAAAACCCCAATTTTCTTTTTTTTTCCCTGTCCTTTAGAGATGTATTCTGTGAAGAAAAATTAGTTCTCAATTTATACTTTTATTCTTAAGTTTTTAGTATCTCTTACCTCTTGTTTCTTTTTTGAACTCTGAAAATCTTACTACCTGCTTTTTGTCACTTGCTTTAGGGAACGACAGCCATGCTGTGTTAGCCATGCTTTTCAATTTATTCCTCAAGCCTCAATTTGCAATCTTTCGATCTCAGATCGTAGGCTTCTTGAATGATATTTGAATTAGAAGATATTCAGTCTTCCAAGTTGATGTACTTGAGAGATCAGGAACATGCAGTTTGGTTTGACCTTGACTAATCAAGCATGTGATGGAGAATGTTTTTTCAGATTGATATTTGTACATTATTCTGACAATTTATGTGGCATATTCACACTGCTAATCATAAAGAGTGATGACTAGCTGTTTTCATTAACCTAACCTATCTATAGGGATGCACATGTTTATGTTACAGATTAAAATATTTAATTTAGGGATCAATTGTCTGCATGAGACAGTATTTTGTAGATTTAGTATAAGATCTGTTATATCTAGATTTTCACAAGCAGGATTGTTGAGGAAGGATTTCATGAAGTTAGGTTTTAGAAAGGGATTTGCATGGAAAAAGTGCAATTTTTCTTTCTTTACTTTGCCTCTTTTGCTTGTGATAGGAAAAGAGAGAATGAGTGACTTGTCAGTTTGGGTATTGAAACAAAATTTGCGCAGAACTTTCAAACTAATAATGTATATCACTAAGCCTCAGCAGCAGATGGCAGCAAATATATACAAGAGAGATCATTCACTTCTGTACTGAGGAAAAAACAGATAGCAAACTTGACCTTTACTTTCCACGTTATTGTATATCATAAACTTAGGCTGATCAGTTGCTGTAAATCAGGTGATGGTGCATAAACTTCACCTGAATGGAGTGATTGTTGTTCGTTGGCAATATTTCCTTTAAGAAATGCAAAGTTCTTTGTGCGTGAGTGAAGCAATTTTTAGTTCACATTTCTTGGTTTGTATCGTTACAGTTCTGTTATGTAGGGGAGCAGCTCCCTGAAATAGATGGGACTTGTCAAAGCAGTTTAACACTGTTTTCTTTTTGTTTTTGTTTTGTCTGTTTCTACTGTAACTCTTCTTTCCTGGCTAGCCTTTTGCATGTAGAAATCAATAAATAATTGCCTAAACAAAATTTAATTTTTAATTTTTCTGACATAAAACATGCTTGGGCCTGTGTTGAAATAGCACATATCACCTAGTTAAAAATCTCACTGAGGTTAGTAGGAGTGTATGCACAAGTTAATAACTCTGTAAATGACTTGATGACTTCTGGCAGCACTGCTATAAAAAATGTTGCTGTTACCCCAGCTCAGTGTTTTTTTTTAATTATTATTGGTAAAGGACATTGCTTCATGACCTAGTTACAAACAAGAAGTTTAAAGTTAGCAAATACATTCAGGAGTTTGCAGGTCTCATCTCATTTTACAGATTAAACACTTGCAGAAGGGCTAGCAGGACTAAGGCCCTATTTGCATACTTTCTTTGATGTTTGGAAGAAAATCATCAAATGGAAAGTTGTTAGGTAACATCAACTGCCATGTTCTTATGCACTCTCATTTGGAAAACTGTTGTAAATGCAATTGAATAGAGGAACGCTGTTGCAAAATTGTCTTGGTATATTTGATCAATGTATTAGGTGTGATATGTAAGTATCCACCTTGCTTCTCCTTCAAGAGAATTTTGAGTTTCAATTTTGGGATCTATTTCAAAAGATTGTTTTCATTTGAAGCCCCTTCCTTAACCAATGTAACCCCAGACTAATCTAGTGGTAGGTTTCCCTGATCGTGGCAGGGGAGTTGAAATTAAATGATCTTTAAGGTCCCTTCCAACCCAAACCATTCTGTGATTCTAACCTTTTCAGTGTATTGAAAGTTTTTCTAACAGCTGTCACTGAAATATTTATATCTTTGACAGGAACAGTTGGAGACTTGTGACTTCACTAAATTTCACTCTTTGAAACCAAAGCTTATTGAAGCTGTGGATAATATGTTGGCCAACAAGATTGCCTCCCTGATGAGCCTGATCAGCCAGGAAGAAAGCAATATGCCCACAGAGTTGGTTCACGGTGGGGCATTTGATGGCACCATGGCAGGACCTTTCGGCCAGGGATATGGAGAAGGTGCAAAGGAAGGAGCTGATGAAGAAGAATGGGTTGTTGCCAAAGATAAACCTGCTTATGATGAGATTTTCTACACTTTGTCACCAATCAATGGCAAAATATCTGGGATCAATGCAAAGAAAGAGATGGTAACTTCCAAACTACCCAACAGTGTCTTGGGGAAGATCTGGAAACTCGCAGATTGTGATGGTGATGGGATGTTGGATGATGAGGAATTTGCATTAGCAAAACATCTCATCAAGATAAAACTGGATGGATATGAACTGCCTGGCACACTGCCTTCCCACCTGGTGCCACCATCTCACAGGAAACCTTTGCAGACAGCGGAGTGAAAAATGTTAGAAGAGGATTTTGGATGTCTTTCAATGAATGTGTTGAAACTACCAAAATTTGAGTTTAGGCTTAAATCTTTAAACCTCACAGCCCATTTCACGCAAGTTACTGAAATTAGAAGCATAGTAGCAGGGAAACATTTTGTGTAGTAGTCCCTGCTGACCTTCACTGAGACATGCTTATCACAAGTGCCTTGTATAAATCTATCATAATGCGTGGATGGTAAGGTGAAAATGTTTCTGTAGTGTTGCTTCCATATCTTGCTGCCTCTACAGCCATAAAGCAGAAAAAAAAAATGTATGAAATCACTGATCTTCACCAAACCTAAGCACTTAGCAACCACGGGTTACTCCAAACTATTTATTTTATTTAGTGCAAGGAAGCTCTAAATGTTATATTCACCGCCTATGAGAGGAACATTTTCTACACTGAAAGCATACTTTAGGCATCAAGTGAATGTCAACATTTCTATAGGTTAAGAAAAAGCAGATATAAAAAATAAATTTATTTTTTTTCTATATTTTTGTTGTTCTTATTTAATTTGGGAGTAGAGAAAGACTAAAGTTGTGGCAAGCATATTAAGTGCTCAGAATATGAGCAGACTTGTTTATGAGCAGACTTATTTTAAAACTCTGGTGCTTATAGCTAGAAAGTACAAAATATTAAAATGATTCTTTCAGTCTGTCATCACTGTCTTATCTGAAGAGCTGCTGCTGCAGTTTTGTACAGCACTGTATACTCAGTATTATCTTTAAAAGAAATGAATCTCCTTTGTTCCTCGGATTTAGTGTTTCTTTTGAGGTTTCAGTTTAGCTGTGCTGCAAATTCCTGAATTTTTCAAAGTCGAAGCAGAATGTTTTCATAAGCTTAATGAAAAAAAAAAGTTTCCATTGAAATAAAGCCTCATATAATATTCAGAAAAGGTGCATTGTTCAAATTCAGCATCTTCAAAGCATGTTGAATTGTCTTGAGAAATTTTCATGGGTATTTAATTTTTATTTACAGTTAATTATACAGGTATCTATGTTATCTTATACTTTTCATTTTAAAGAAAGGGTTTTTAGCTCTTTGTTTTGCCAACAGGTAGCTGACAACCACTGAAGAGAGATTTGATTGATATGGTGGCAGATTTGAAAGTTGGGGTCACCAACAGAAATCTTTACATATGACTGAAATAAGTCATAGACTGGTACCTTCAAATATTATGGCTTACTGCTGTTTCCAACTGACTTTACAAGTACCTTAAAAGAAGGTAATTTTACCTTAAAAGAAGGTATCTTTTTGGTCCTGTGAACCTGTCTTTTGGGGAGGGCCACTTCTTTTCTGAAATCAAACTTGGCAGTCAGTCAGTGTAGGTCTGTGTATATGAGCAAGAATTGACTTGTACTCCATTTGTACTATGAAATGCCCTACATATCAAAGGTACTGTAACTTCAGGCACTTTTTCTTTGAGACTCAATAAGTGTTAGCAGTAGTGCCTTCTGAGACAGAGCAAGCCAAAAAATGTTTTAGCATCTTTGCAGTGGGGGTAGGGAGGGAAGTAATTTGAGTGTTGTCTCTGAGTTAAGACTTCAGTCACATTTACGTGTTCAGATTTGTAGGTGATCTAAGAAGAGCCTCAACTTTTTCTTCAAATTGTGTGTTTTTTAGGTTGTCAGTTGGTTTTCATACTTCAAATCTTTCTGGACCTCTTATCTTTCTGCATCTTTTCTATTCTGATGTGAAATTACCATGAACTTTGCTAGGACTCTTCCATGTGAAAACAATGAAGCTATTTTAAGTAGTGACATAAGAACACCTTCACCTTGCCAGGCTTCCGGACCTGTGTCAAGGATATCCTAACATAGTTAATCAGTCTTGAGGACTTGCTTGCTTTGTCTTACTCTTAGTTTTTTCTCTTATAATTTAAGTGTACCAACTTTATTTCTGTTAGACCTATGATAGGGGCCAAATTAGCCTTAGTGCATCTCTGTGCACTTCTGTAGAGCTGTGAAACTTGACCAGGAGTCTACCTGTGTGACTGCATGTCTGCAGAGTAACCAATTCTCTAAGTAATTTATTTTTAGTTGAACAAAAAGTATTATATAGACTTCGCAAGAGGTGTTAAAAAAAAATAAATAAGGCTGTTTATTTGTGGGTAGTTTCTGTAGTCGGTGACAACTTTGTACACTAATCACAAACCAGAATAGCTTTGCAAAGAAAGCCACCAGAAGAAAGAAAACTTGTGTGTTGTGCCTAATGTAGAGTGGGCAAAGCTGAGAGGATCTTGGAAGCTGCTGATCTTCCAACTTTGTTGTATTTACCTTGCTCTTCTGCTGAACAAGGTTCCAGAGTGGGCCTGTGTTTGAATTCCCACCATGTGTAGCTTCCAGGAGCGATGCTCCAAATGTTTTGGAGCCATATGTCCCATGCCAGTAGAAATATCCTCCTGTAGAGGAGAGGAGCAGGATAGTTTCTCAGTGATTTATATTTTTTCTAGTTTTACCGGTAGTAAAATGGAGAATACAGCCTTTTTTTCAGACTCCATAAGACTGTGCTAACTTGGACTTAGAGGGGACAAATTGAAATGCATTATTTTGATAAGTTAAATATTTTCTTTAGATATAGTTGAAATGTTTTGCTCTTTTCCTGCAAGACTTAAAGAAGGGGAAAGGGAATGCACAAAGCATGTATAAGAGTAGAGGTGGATTCACTGTTGATGTGGAGGAATAGAAGCATTTCAGGACCAGCATGCAATGAATGCATATCTAGATATGTGGTGCAGTGCACTGGAATGTTAAGAGGTCATAATTAGCTGATAGAAATTCAAGTACATTTCATATGGACTTTAAACTGCAGTTTCATGTGCAGCTAAACTAATCTAGTAGAGTGCTGTTGCTCAGGGGAAGCAATCTGGATAATGCTCTGCTGAGTTATTGAGACAACATGTAGGGAGCATGAGGAGAGAAGGGAGCAGGATTACCTTCTCATGAAATTGTGCTGTGGGTAGTTACTGGGAACAGCAGTGTGAAGTAATCTTTTTTGTTCGTTTGATGTTGTTATTAATCTCTGCTCAACAAAGAACAAGATCTTGGATTAGTTGGCAGTTTTATGCCAAGGATTTTGATTACATTTGCTGAAGGATCATTCAAAACTGTCAAGAATACATTCTGTGAAATTAGTGCTCATTGGTGTAGTCTGCTGCTGTAAACCAAAGTAGACACTGCTGCTTTTACGTCTTCTCTAGCTGTTCTGCAACAGTTTTAATTCCCAAGTGAAATTTTGTTCCCACAGAAATCCATTAGATTTTTGTTTGGAAGAAAAAATGTGAGACAACTGTTCAAAACCACACTACAGGACAGCAAGATCCTTTCAAAACTGTGACAGGTTGAAAATAGAGAGTTTACAGAGATCTTTAGGTCAGGGTGAGGTCCTTCTCCTTTGTTAAGAATGGTGTAAACTTCCATGGAATTTGGTATAAAAGCAGTGGTATCCAGTCCCTGATTTTTCAACATTATTTATCTCCAGTACTTGAAGGGCACACTATTTTTCTTCCCACTTTCTTCCCTTCACCATATGCACTCAGTTTGATGGCTCTTTGTATTGTTGGAATTCAAGCAGAGAATTTGAATTGTATGTTTTCTTGGGAATGTGTAACTTAGCATGGAGAGAATGAACATGAATTTTTTTGTACTTCACATACTCACCTTTTCTAATACTTTTGTTGAATACTGTGTTTTCCCTTTAAAGGCACTCAATTTATCTTTGAGGGAGTTTGATCTGTGCAGAGCGCTTCACTTTGTCCAGTTAGGCAAACAAAGCTGTAAGTTCATTATTGTTGCACTTTTTATTACACAATAAATTCCTTGCAGATACTGTAATATATTTTAATATGCTTTGTAATCATTTTTAGAAAGTGGTGATAAAAACTGCTGATTTAATAAACTAATATTGAACTACCTGATACTTCTGCTTGTAATTTTCTTTCTGAAAGTGAATTCAGTGACGAGAATTTTTTTTTTAAATTCTTCTACTTAAGGCTCATAAGCATAGTAGCTATTTGGGAAGTTGTTTATTTTCTCACCTCAGTTTATGCATCTACAATAGGTTATGGCTTTTCCCCTTCTGTGTCCTTGAACTTGTTGCTGAAAATACTGCCAACACCAAGGCTTGATTCCAGAATCTAAATTTATATTTTAAAAGGAAAAATAAAAATAAATAACTCCAGCACTTCTCTGTATAAGCTTTTTATAGCAGAGTGCAATTTCAAAGTTTCTCAATATCTAAGCATGGAATTTTCTTAAAGTCCAAGTATGGAAGATAAATCAACATAGAGGTAATTTCCTGTGCAGATTCAAAGCTTTAAACTTGAGATGTGAGAGGCATTTCTTTTAACTTAAAGGGGGACACTCACCTGGAAAAACAACAATAGATTGAATAGTCTAGCAAAAGTACTTTGCCATATGCTTTTCCAAAAAAAAAAAAAATCAATGACATCTTTCATGCTGTGCTACCTACTGCTTATAAATGACTAATGATATCAACAGAATATTCACTTTAATATTGTGCTTAAATTAATTCCACCTACATCTCTTCCTCCCCTGTATACAAATTATTTATTTGAAGCATCTTCAGAGATGCATCTGCGTCACCAGGATGCTACAGTTCAGCTACTACTCCTAAGTTGCTGTAAGTTAAAGGGTTTTGTGGGTTGCAGTGTTAGCAAGCTATGCTATTATGCTTGTGGTGGGCATGCCTTATGTCACGTGAAGGAATGTTTCATGTGCAAACAATATGTTGTGTGTTCCTTGAGGCTACACTGCTGTTGAATTGCAGTGGTTCATTTCAACTGTTCCTTTTGAAAGTCAGAAACACTTTGGAGAAGATGATATTTAATGGAGTTTGGAGGTAGGTTTTTTGTGTTGCTTATTTTGTGGGTTCTTTTTTTTTTGGGGGGGGGGGAAGGGGAGGAGGCAGACAGTAGTATGGTATATTTCATACTCGGTATCCAAGATATTTCAGACTTTGAAAAAATTACTGCACACTACATAGTTGGATGTTCTCTTCTAATCCTCAGTTTATATTTGGACAAGAAAAGTGGGTGGATGCCTACACTGTCATTTTGATAGTAAGTTTTGCAGTAGTTGTTACTTATCATATTTGGCACCCTTTAAGTGTGAAATATTTCTATTTCTGCCTACTCTATCATTTAATTTCTCCAAACCTTGTTTTTAGCTCCTACTTTTGGTGTATTTATAAGCGCTTTGGAGTAGACACTACTTTATTCTGAGTTTCTCTCATCCAAGGCTATATTATGCTTCAAGTAATAACTGTGAGCAAGGAAGATCTTTAGAAACCGTGGCCTGTAGGCTAGGCTCTTTCATTTATGTAGTGAATCCTAGGAAAAAGAGTTGGCTGTCTTGATATTCTTAGACAGATGGACAAATATACCTATTCTGGAGAAAGGTGCTTCCCTTTGCTCCCTATTCATGGCAATGAGTGTCTGGAAATAAATGCCCAAATCCAGCAAACACCTGTAATTGAATAAAACACAGCCAAGAGGAGGTGTGTGTGGTTTTTGCAATTATATTGAGCTTGTTTTGATCTCTGAAGGAAAAGTATCTTCTCCCATGGAAATCGTGATATTCTGAGATGGGTTCATCTCCCTTTCCCTACAAGACTGCATGCTAGCACAGATTTGTACCTAGTGATAGACTGTGGATTCACAGGTACTTTGTCTGGTCCCATGAACACTGGAAACTCCTTAACACTAGGTCTGACTTGTTATCCTGTCTGTTCTGTTCTCCATGATATAGCTTGTCCATGTTCTTTCCAAGGTGTTGCTAGCTCAGCGTCTCACATTCCACTTCAGCCTGGAGCTCTGCAGATTTCTAGCTCATTCTGCAGTACTAGAATTAAATGAATTATCTACACCTATTGCTATTGTACAAAGGCATTGGATATTACCTATCTATCAGATAAAGCATTTCAGATGCACTGTGAGATTCTGTGTCTGATCATCATTTCTTATAAACATTTTAACCAAGGAACTGTTGAAAGATGCTACTGATGCTTGCTGATTTCCAAGTTCTGATCACTCTGTATTTTGTTTGAAAATACATTCATTTTTTGTCAAGTCTGGAGGGGGAAGGGGGAAGTAACCATTAAGTTCTAGACTTCACAATTTCGACCTACAATGGACAGTAATTGCAATTTTTCTTCATTTTGCACTACCTTTATTAGGTAAAATATTCACTCTTAAAAATTTTAACTGTTTATACAATTCTACATTTTTGCCAGCTATGTTCAGTTATTCAGTGTGACTTGGTGGCCTTCACAATGAAACTGGGACACATGGCCTGGGAGGGAGCTGTGATTATAACTGGCTGCTTAGGGTGATGGGGGACCAAAACCTGAGAGCACACCATGACATAATCCATTCCTGTGGGTAGGATGCAGTACTCTGGCAGTAACGTTGGTAAGCACCAATCTGCACATACAGCTCACAATTTTGTTTCATTGCTAAATAGGGATAAATGCTTTACCACTCCAATATATAAATAGACCCCTAAAATAGAGCTGTAAAGGGGAAGAATTTTTGCCATTCTTCCTGCAGTGGTCTTCCATAGTAGCAATGAGTAACAATGGAAAAATCTGAACCACAAGGATAAAAATGTACTACTCAGATCTGGGATTACCAACACAGAGACTTCTAAGATCATTTTAAGTATGTTCAAAAAGTTAAGGTTATTCTGTCACTTGAAACCCTTTATCTATGTTTGTGTGAAATGGAAAGAGAATTAAAGTCGTCTGTCCCATGTGCACATCCCACAAAGCCTTTGAAGCTCTTATGTTAACTGTTTGAGGTTCAGAAACAGAAGGAAAATTTCAAGATAATATAAACAGCTCCAAGGAGAAAATGCCTTTAATTCATGACTAAACAAGCAAATGTATATTTTCTCTCTTTCAAAAAGATGACTGAATTTCTTCATGCCAGGAAAAATAAATCCATCTGATTTTGCTTTAAGCTGTCCTCTTTTTCAAATGCAGCAAGGGGCTCCAGTTCCTACAGATGATGTAATTCGACTGTTCTGCTTGAGTTCTGCTCCCCGTTGATGTCATGTAGCCTCTAGCCAACTATTCAAAAAAGAAAAGCCACTTCTAGTTTAGACTAGAGCATGGGGAGGCTGAGGCTTATAATAAGCCTGCATCCCGGGATGTCGGTTTAGATCCCTGCAGGCGAAGCTCAGCTTTCGGAGAAGCTGGGGCTCCATCCGCGGGGGCCCTGCCTGCGGGTGGGTGGCACGTGGGGCAGCCGGTGGCAGCAACACAGGAAGGCAGGTAGGTGGGGACGGCAGGGGGGCACTCCAGGGACCGGTGAGCTGGTGCCCCATGGAGAGAGGAGCTGGGAGAAATATTTGGCTGTTTAGGTTCAGCCAAGAGGCCTGTAAGTTCAGCTGAGAGGCCTGTAAAAACAGAGAAGCAGTATGGACTCACGCTTCTCCTATGCTGCTTTTGACTAACTCTGTATCTTTTCCTCAGCCTTGATATCCCAAATATGTGAGCAGCTTCTTGCAATAATTGCTTCCTCTAGTGTTCTTGGTGTCCAAAAAGTAGCTCTTTGTGGTAATTCAAGACGTAGTCAGGAAATACTCTGGGTTCACAGTGCATACCACTAGTGTCTACACTGCCTCAACAGGGATGAATTTCAGCTGTGGGCTGGAGCATTGCTGGGCCATCTCCAAGCCTCTTGGGTGGCCGTGTGTTAAAGTCATGCCAGGCAGCAGGCGAGGCTCTCACGGTAGACATGAGGAGGGTTGGGACTGTTCTTCTCTTTCCACCTATGCTGCAAATATATGCTCCTGATGGTTCTTCAGAAAGAAATGGAATATATGAAAGCAGCGTATTGTGTATTTGTCTTTAGAAGAGACAGTGCAACTGTGTGGGGGCAGTGGTAAGAAACCATCCCTGTTCCCCCATGTGCCTTGGCAAGGGGAGGGCTGCCTGGGTGCAGCTGGCTGCTGGCTCCTGCTTGCACTTACCACACTGTGGTCTGCTAGGCTGGCCTGAGGGCTCCCTTCCTGCTCCACAGTCAAGGCCCAGATGTTTGTTGTGTGGAGATTTTTACATGTGGAAACAACATTGCTTGAGACGCTGTGGGGGGCAGAGGGCCGAGCTGTCATAGTCCTCTACACGTGTTTGTACTTATTTTCTTTGAGATTTGGGGAACCTTCTCCTCAGTGGATCTCAAATGGGATTTTTCACATGTCTTCAGGGACGTGTGTACTCAAAAGCATGTCTGATGGAGGGTGACAGGCTGAGCCATACCTTTCATCTCAGCCAAGTGAACAAGCTCAAGTCTTCAGTGGACAGCTGAGAGCCTGGTACACTGACAGGCTTATTTGGTCACAGGACTCAGCTGTGAATGACCTTATGTAGGGACACATGAGCACACAAAGGCATCTGTACTCACCTATGCCGATGTATTTCCCTCCAGCCCAGACCCCAGCAGAACCATTCATCCCAGTGGACATGGACAGTGGTGCTGGGAAGCCAAAGCTGCCATCTGGGAAACGGAGCTCAGGAGGCGTCTGCAGGCTTGGGGCTCTGCTGTCCATATGTCTGTCCTCGTGGCAAACAGGCTTGGGTCAGGGGTGGGAGTGGAAGCAGTGAACTCCATGCCTGCAACCCTGTGATGGTCGCTTTTGCAATGGGGGTTTAAACATTTGTCCCCCTCTTGGAGAGGGACTGCGAATTGGCAGATGGCTTGTGGGGCATGGAGGAAGACTATATTTCAAAAAGCAAATGAACTTTCAGATAGGTCAAAAGGAAGTTTCTCATCCCTCTGTGTTTTAGACAGTGGTGCCAGAAGTGGGGCAGTAGTGGGGTAGGGCTGGGGACTGAGGAGCCTTGGGGCTGCAGGCGATGCTGCTTCAGTGTGAGGTCTGTTTGATCTTCATGGTC